AAGAGGAGGAGAGAGGCCAGTCTCCAACCCTCCTCCACTCTCTCCCTTCACTTTCCCTCTATTCCCTCGTTTTCTCTCCCCTATTACAGCTTCATGTGTGACATTTCAGGATCCATTCACTCCCAGAATGTATTAACACCAACTAGCAGCAACATTCTAAACCAGATAATAAACTAAAGGTACATTTTAAAGCTCTAATATGTAACATTTCTGCATTAAAATGTCAATAAACTCTGGCTCTATGTTCCCTATGTAGTTGAGTTCTTACATTATCTGAAACATTTCCAACAACGTTCAAACTCAGAGAAATCTGTCATTTTATTCAGGTAACGGAGGAGACCTCTGTGGATCATTGGGCTCCCGGTAGAAACCTCCTGAACCATGAACACTGAAGGAATCCTAACCGGGAGAAGCTGACTGCAATGACGCCAATGGTGGTGAAGACTCCCATCATCCCACACTGCTTCACAACGTCATCAAACGTCCTCTTTTATTATTGATTTGATGTGAAAGACGCCCTAGTGGCAGAAATGACATATTGTAGGTTTAATAATACAGTGAGGCAGATAGATGTTTTTGGATTCTCTTGGAGCAAGCGTTAAACAAATCAATATCTGCAGCTTCTCTTCGCTCACGTTTGGCTGCTTAGAGTCAAAGTGTGTATTTTGGAATCCATCAGCCTCTGTGGTCAGCGGATGAAAAAAAACTAAAGTTTCCTGCCCTGCTCTTAACTTAGAGCCTCTGGTTGAAGCAAACAGATATTAGGATTTGACTCCTCCTGTTGTGCCACTGCAGGGCTTCACGTGGAGAGCTACGTAGCATTTAAGGATCATTTCTTCAACTGTTTCAGCAGATAATTATTACAGCTGCTTTTACTGGAGACGGAAAACTGCACATCTCTACACTGTAAAGGAGAAAGAAATAGTCTCTTATTGATTCTCACTTTGTTTGTACGCAGTTTCAAGCTCACCAGAAAAACCTTCAATTTAAGCAAGAAAGGCAGGAAATTTAGAGTAGGCAACGCCAAATTTGGAAGCCAACTACGCAGGAAGGCAACATTTTGGCTCAATTATGTGATTCTTTGCAGCTCAAGTGAGGTGTTTTGGTCAGAAGTGGCCACTAATTGTCAGATGTCGTTATACTGCTGCGCGGTTGCTGTGGAGCTGTGAAGCCACCGTCTCATGAAACAGGAAGCGGGCGACGTTCCCAAACGGTGACAATTCAATTCAGAGCTGTCAACTGTGAAGCTGCTGCTGCAGCTGCACGACTCGCTGTGAGTGCTGCGGAGCATGCGTCACTCACACACACACACACACACACACACACACGCTCGTAGACATAAAGATAAAAAAACAGCCTCAGTGACACACACACACCAACACTCAGCTCTGAAAACCAAAAGCATGCGTCACAGCGTGCTCTGTGTGTGGACGAGCAGACACTCCCCTCTGTCAGGTCACGAGCTGCTGCCACACACACACACACACACACACACACACACACACACACACACACACACACACACACACACACACACACACACACACACACACACACACACACACACACACTCACACACTCCAAATTTAGGTCCTAAGGGAAGCTGCTGTGATCCTAAAAGGATTTGAACTTTTTTTTTCATCCTTAAGCTCAATGACCAGTTTTAGCCTGTGCCCAAGTTAAAACCAAGCGTGTGTGTGTGTGTGTGTGTGTGTGTGTGTGTGTGAGCATCAGTGGGAAGCGCATGCTAATTCCACCCATGTAAATGTTGACCTGAGCTGGGTGGGGTGTTTGTGTGGTGACGGCCTGGGGAGGGGCTTTCGTGGAAAGCTGCAGTAGAAAATAAAAGCTCCTGCTCCTGTCATCATCGTCTCTCTTTCGCTGTCCCTCTGCCCTTCAGGCCTTGGTGTGGGAAACGAAGGCCACAAATGGCGCAAGCGCACACACACACACTCACACACACACTTGTGGAAATGGTGAAAGAGGGGGTGATGAGACGGAAAGATTTTTTTTTTTTAAAAAGATAAATAACTGAGTAAATGTCAAAGAAGTTCAAGTTCAAGGAAGAAAAACTAAAGTGGAAACTGAAGCTGGGTGTTACTAGAACAGGAGACACAAACAGACTGTTGTACCTGTGGCTCTGATCTGGACAACTGAGCATTTACATACTCAACTATATAAGGAACATTTTTTGGAAAGCTTCCCTGGTTAGCTTAGCATAAAGACTGGACACAGAGGGAAACAGCTAGCCTGTCTCTGTCCAAAGCGAATAATCTGACTTCATTAATTGATTATCAAGATCTCTCAGTTAATTCCTTCAATGTTCATCGTTCAGCAGGTTTGTTTGCACAATGTTGTGAAAGTATGTTAATGTTTGCAGGATAGAAAAATAGATAGATGGCACTATACTGAAACCTATTTCCTGACCGATTCAGAGCATTCCTTCCCTTGATATTTTCTTTAGCAATAATGATCCAAACGTCTACATGCCAGACTCAAGTTGACAATAACTCGAGTAAAATCTAAAATCCTTCATCCGGTTCAAATCTAGAGTTAAAAAGCACCAAGATCTAAACAGTGGATGGTAACAATGTGGCTTCAGACTGGATCAACAGTCAATGTATGACAGCTTCTGGCAGACAACCACAACGCTGACGCAGGCACAAAGGGGATATGACGCCATCGACAGGCGACCGGTGAAACGCAGCGTTACCTGAATACAATGACAGATTTCTCAGAGTTTGAACATTGTTGGAAACATTTAGGATAATGGAAGAACTCAACTACATATAGAACATAGAGTTAGAGTTTATACACTGTTTAATGAGGAAATGTTACATATCAGAGCTACAGGAGTTCAGAAATAACATGAAGAAGGTGAAGCATGGTGAAGGTTGCTATGGAGACGGGCGCAGACAGAGACACAAACACCAGTTGCTGCGTGGACAGACAGCAACCACACACACACACACAAGCATGCAAAGGCCCTACCCTGATAGATAAATACTACACACACACGCCAAACGCCTTCACACACACACACACACACACACACACACACACACACACACACACACACACACACACACACACACACACACACACACACACACACACACACACACACACACACACAGCAGTCCATCCAGTGTGCGATTCTCCCTTTGACGCGTCCCGGTGACATTTTTCCCAGACAACTTTCAGTTCACTTTGGACTTTGGGTTGGAGGCGGCCTCGTCGCAGCACGGTGGAATTTGCCACGAGTTAGAAGGCTTTGATCCACGCCGACGACTTCTACTTCTTCTTCTTCTTCGGTCTCCGACTGTCCGCTCCCCTTCCCCAGACCAACGATGCGATCACCAAAGAGCAGAAAACAGAGCCGGCACTGTGACCCTGGTGTAACTTTCCATGACTCTCCATACCTGAGCTGGACTGCTTCCAGCCCCTAAAGAAAGATCCCTTCCTGGTTTGTCCTTTTAGACAAACAGCATCAACCAACAGACTGGTTTCCTCTCTGAAAACCACCAAATGATGCAACTGAGGAGTCAAACAAACTGTGAATTATTCTGAGGTGTTTTCCTGCAAAGTGACTAATGGAGGAAAATCCCCCATCCGCTCAAGTTGTCTGATGTTCACCTTTAAAAATTCCACGACCTTCACGTGAAATCAGATTTGACATTTTTGAAACAATGCGTCTCTTCAACAAAGAGCGTCAGAAGTTCGGCTAATTTTAGTTTGAATATTTAAGGAGAAATCTCAAAATAGGAAGGGTGACACTGCAGTAAAACACAGAGGAACGTTTTAATCTGTGCACAGACCCGACAATGTATGAATCCAGTCTTTTTACAAATCGCCATCATGATGTAGTTTTTTCTGCGTCCTTTTGATCCGTTTATTTTCATTAAATCAGCTAAATCTGTGTATTTTAGGCTAATACCACCGTTGTAAGCCAGATTAAAGGATGAATATTCACTTTGCGTAAGTGGAGTTGATAATATGTTTGTTTGTTTGTTTTCTGGTGGGATTTCTGCACAGAATTAAAATTGAGAGCTGCTGTTAGTTTCAAAGAGTGACAGCTTTCACACCACTTTTCCTTTACTTTTTTTAACTTGTTACATCAAAGGTCTCTTAAGACAGAAACAAAAGGAGGTTAATGGACAAAATAACTGAAAATAGAATGTTTACTTCAATTGAAAAATAATTATTCTTTAAGGATAAGGTCCCCATTACGGCCCTCTTTCCCTTTGTTTTTTAATGATTAATCTTTCTCGTACTTTCATATCAATTTAAACTACACCTTCATAAACAAAATACACAACTCTATTTCAAATATATAACATAAAATGTATAGAAACTGCACAGTATGATGCGCTTTCTTGTTGAACGTTGAAGTGGCCCTCCTGACAATACCAGCAGTGGCCCTACGCCAAGTTTGAGACCCCGAGAGTTGAAATATTTTGTCTGAACTGCTCTGAAAATGAGACTGGATAAAAACTACACTGAACTGCAAATGAAATAAAAATGTAAAAATAGACCCAGACGGAGGACACAGACACACACTGAAAATTTCACAGGTAGACCTGAAATGTCAGTCACTCTCACACACACACACACACACACACACACACACACACACACACACACACACACACACACACACACACACACACACAGTAGGAGTCAGGGGTCAGCAGAGTCAGAGATGAGAAATTCCACACCTGAATACAGTAAACACACTAACGCACACAAAAAAAAAAATGTAAAAACTCCCCCTTCGCCTCGCTTAGATTGGCTTATTTGAAAGCGCGTCACGGCGGCTCATGTTTCAGGCAGAGAGAGCGGCCGCAGTGTTTTATCATGTGGTTCCTGCCGCGCTCACCACAGCCGGTTAACGATTGGGAACGGAGCAGAGGGAGGACGGTAAAAACAGGACAGGACAGCAAAGGGTAGGGCCTGTGGTGTGTGTGTGTGTGTGTGTGTGTGTGTTGTTGACCTCTCACCTTTGACATGAAGTCCTCTTTGTAGGTTCGCTCCTCAAAAACGTCCGTCTGCAGCCGCTCTGGGTTCAAACACACACATTCCAGTTATGGACATGTTAAAAAACCTGAAGGGTCACAGGTTGATTAATCATACAGTATGTCATTTCTGCCACTAGGGGCTCTCTCATCAAAACAACAACAGAGGTGTGTGTGTGTGTGTGTGTGTGTGTGTGTGTGTGTGTGTGTGTGTGTGTGTGTGTGTACCTCTGCTGAGTGTGGCTCCATTCTCTCTGTAGTCCTGGATCTCGGCGTCCTTCCTCGCCAGCAGACCTCCGAGCTGCTCCACCTGGCGCTGCAGCAGGTGGCTCATGGCCAGCAGGGGGCGCACCAGCTGAACACACGCCTGAAAACACACAGGAAACTCATCAGGTTGTGGGATATTGTTATAAAGTCCACTTTTATTATTTTTGTGTTTTCAGTAATTTTATGATTTGAATAAATACATGGACTGGAGTATAAAGACATTTATCAGTGACAATATATTAAACTAATCTTCTTTTGTTGGTTTATCACTTTGTGAAGCATTTTGGATAAAGTAAACTTTTTTTTATTTATTAAATGTAATAATTTAAGTAATTTTCCTCAGATGTACCCAACAAGCGTCTTCAAATCCAGGTTCAAGCGAAAGCTGATATCAACACCAATATTTCTGCAAATCAGCAGGATTTTCAGCTTATAAAACCTAAATATTCGAAATGTAGAAATAAGAGAAAATTCAGCATCTGAACCATCCAAAGAAAGTAAAATTAATGAATCTTTTTGCCAATCAATTTCAAACATGTCCAAGCACATGAATTTGGATAAATAAATAGAGACTATAACTGGTTGACAACAGCAATGTGAAACGTTGGACCGTACCACAGTGACGGGTGCGGGGGTGCAGTCGAACTCCCAGTAGAAGGGCAGCCCTGCCAGCTCACTCTTCAGCTTCATGCTGATGTTGCCGCCCTCCTGTCGCGTCAGGGACACCTGGGCCTCGCCGCCGGCTCCCCCGTCACTTCCTGACAGACAGGGCCGAACCACCTCGCACAGGTGGGAGAAGAACGCTTTGACGGGGGCTCGCAAACGTCTGTTCAGCTCCTGGGGAGAGGGGGATTTATTTATCAGAGGAAAACAGATTCTGTTTTTACTTAATTCGGGGGCGGCTGTGGCTCAGAGGTAGAGCGGGTCGTCCACTAATCGGTTCGATCCAAGGCTCCTGTCCTTGAGCAAGGCACCGAACCCCAAATTGCTCCTGATGTGCATCAGTGTATGAGTGTGTGTGAATGGGGTGAGTGTGGCCTGTAGTGTACGGTGCTATATAAATACAGTCCATTGAATTCATCATTTATGTACCTGCGCTCTCTGCTGGATGGCAGCTGAGTCCATCCTCTCCTCCCACACACAGTGAATGTCTGTCAGCAGGATGTGGTACGCTGTTTCCCCAAACCAGCTCTTGGTTAGGAGCTGGCAGCCGCTGATGCTCACAGGGAGCCAGGGATGCTGCAGGAGGACCTCAGCAGGAGCTCCAGGGGCCTCCATCGTGGCCCGGACACGCTAAACAGGGAGCAAAGGTTCAAGATGGACAATGTTCAATTAAATGGACATGAAAGTCTCCAGGTTCAATCTTCAGACCAAACCACTGAGTTGGAAAATATCTGGTTCTTTAATAAAAACTCATAAAGGTACAAGACTGCGAGCATAAAAACTAAAGGAGATAAGTCAACTACAACTCCCAAAATGCATTTCAGTAAGAATCAACCAATCACAGAGCTTCAAATTACACCTACAGATAAAACATTCAACCGGTTTAAATCAACAAAGTGTTCAGAATCGACTCCAGCTTCTTCCACAAAGCAACAACAGCCGAGCCTCATGGGTATTGTAGTATTTAGAGTCATTATATGTTATATAAAGTTTATTGGCTACCATTTTCAGAATGAATTAATAATAAATTGTTTGTATAAAGATGCATTTGTCTGTTTTCTCGGACAGTTCGGGCTCCAGCATGTTGTGAGATTGTTCCTGGAAGTGGGAACCGATTTTATTTTATGTTTTTATCAAACCACTTTCCTTAAAGTCACTCACCTCCGAAGAATGCGCCTCCAAAGGCTGGACTGAGATGTGTTAAAGCCGCGCTACAGACGCCGTCCCGGCCGCATAATGAGCCCCTTGCAGGAGGGAGACCGCAGTGGCAGCTCCTGCGGGTTACCGGGCTGCTCTCGGCTGATCTGTAATGAGACTGTTTTCAGGAGAATAAAACGAGGTATTTCTCGTCAGTGGCCATTTGAAACACAGCGCACGGTTCAGAGGTTGACTCATGCCAATTTGGAAAGCGCAAAAATACCAAATCAGTAACTTTATGACAACAATATACAGCCATACAAAGCTGGACACGAATGCCAGCGGTTAGAGGGTCAGGATGTAGTCCAGACACGCTCCGTTCTCCCGTGTCACACCAAACTCCATTCACAAATCTCTCAATTTTAAGTCCCCCTGCTTCTCTGCACATATTAATCCGATTTGCCATAACATTTTAAAACTTCTCTCGATTGCTAGAAGCTACTCTTTAATTCGGCGACCCGGTACAGAAAGCAATGCGCAACGTTAATGCAGAAATACCTACTTCTTAAAGTAGAGTCCAGTTCGTGTTGACGTCGCTGCATTGTGATGGGTTCAGGCAAACAGTGAAAACAGCCAGAAAAAGACAGGCTGTTGTTTGTTTGTTTGTTTGTTTGTTTGTCTGCTGTATTTACTAAATGTTATCTTTCTGAACGGAGATTTGCTAGCGTTAATTCAAACCATAAGAAGTTGGTAACGATACGAGATCACACCAAACTCCATTTACAATTCCTTCGATTCTAAAGTTTCCTTGCTTATAAGCAGATATGTGACAGAGTCAGCTTTCTATTTTAGAAGTTTACTGCATTTGTAGGAGGCATTCTTCAACTCGGCGACCACACGAAGCGATATTTATTGAAAAATGCTCATTTTCAGTTATAAATGTCCAGTTTCGAGAGCTAATTCAAAGCAAAGGAAGTTAGCTCAGTTGGCTAACTGTTTGTCTCTAATATGATTAAATATTGTTACTGTTCGACCACAACGAGCTTTAATACAACCGGAGACATTTTAAAATACAACAACAAGAGAATAAAAACTTAAAAACTACCAACGTTTGCAAAACAAAGACGCTGCTCCCGCGCCGGCTCCTGTTGACAGTTAGCGTTCCCAACCGATGTGAAACAACTGCGTATTCCAAAGGTTCCGCCTATATTAAAATAATAATAATAATAATAATAATAATAATAATAATAATCTATCATAGATCATAGATCATGATAAATGGGTTCTCAGACAAGTAATGCTTTAATTGTACAAGGAGCCCTCTAACCTGGTGCACTGCACTTTCAGTAATTCAGATTAATTGTGCAGCCCTACCTGGTTCAATAATACAAATATTAATGCTTACAATAAGAACTGACCTCAAAGAAATTCCATGAATGTACTTTTTATTCAAAATGACCAACACACTACAGCACTCAACACAAACTAGTACAACTACAGACTCTACAGTCAGTGAGTAGTGATTTACCAGATAAAATAGGGCTTTCTTTAGTGCACAGGGTGTGGCACATGGATTTTGAATGCATGCAGGACTTCTAACAGGCTGTTTCAAACTGTGGTATTGCTACTTTGGTTCATGAAAAAATCATTTATTAATATTTTATAACGTTAGGGTGCATACGTAAAGATAGGATAGGTCTTATTACGGTCATGTGATGTGTAACTGCACAACAGAAACTGAAGCTCCACGTCTTCACATGAGTCACCGTAAGTAAGTATGACTGTGCTGCAGGTTTAATCCTTATGAGCCGAATCTTTACCAATATTCTTCAAAAGCGACATGGAGAAAGCCTGTGCTGTGAAAGAGTCGTCGGAAATAAAGAGCAGCAGCTCCACAGCCGACAGACGTGCTGTCTGCAGCGATGCCACAGCAGAAACCAAAGATAAAGAAGAAAACAGCAAACTGTCGCTGATCTGCTGGAATGTGGATGGGCTCGATGGAGAGAAACAGCCCGAGAGAGCGAGAGGTCTCTGCTCTTACTTAATCTCGTAAATTATGGACACTGTTATGGTCTGTTGTGTCTGTGGAAACATATTTTCTCTCAGTTAGTTTCGGGTTCATTTCCCCACCATATCTCTGTTCCACTGTAAAACAAAATACAGGAATTTAGTTGAATCAACTAATCTTTTTTTCCCTAAACTTGAAGTACATATATACGTTTTATTAATTATTACAACTTCAGATTTCTAATTTCTAAACATTTCACAACACAACTTGACTTAAAAAAGAGTTGCTGGGATATATAATGATAATAAACTTATCTAGCACTTTTCTTAACAAAGTTACAAAGTATTTTACAGGAAAACAGCAGATGAAACAAAGAGAAGAACAATGGGGGATAAAAAATAAAGTTAAAACTTTCTTTTTGAAGGTTAACCAGCTTAAAGTGATTTACAGTGTAGATATTAGCTCCAGTAAAAACTTGAGTCTGGAAATGAATGTTTTTGCTGACATTTTTAATGGCCTTTTTCAAAGTTATAAGCACCTTCACCTCTTTTGGCAGCAGAAATCTCATTGATACGACTACAGCTGAGGTACAATCACTAATTTATTTATTTATTTATTTAAACTCCAGTGAAAGTGATTCTGCTCAATCACATTGTTGCAGTTACTGAGATTATGAGGATTTGAAGGTTCAGTTTTGAATAGTTCTGTCTCCTTCCATTAATCTCCTCATAGACACTCTCCTGACGTGGTGTTTCTTCAGGAGCTCATCCAACCATACATCCGCTTCATGAAGAAACGTCTGGAGGCCAACTACACGTTCATTGAAGGTACACGTGAGAAACAGGGCCGCCTTGAACCTTTTACGCGGCCCTGGGCAAGATTTTGCTTTGGGTTTACAGAGCGTCACTCAAAATGTACATATAGGATTATTTCTTCTCTGTAAGTCCTGCAGTCAGAGCATGCTTCATTGTTAATGTTAATGTTATCATGTTCAGCTTGTACTTTACTCCTGATAAGTATTTTCACTATTAATACTTCAGTAAAAGTCTGATCCATTCGCCAGAACAAATACAGCACACAGTATTCGCTTTTAATATATTCATCCTCATTTAAAACAATCAGAGTTGACCAAAGTACTAAACAAATTAAAGTTTAGGGCACACAATCAAGTACACTAATGTATTTATTGTATTGTATTTATTGTATAGTCTTTTATATCAGGCTAATTATGTGTGCACTTTTACGGAGCTGCTCTTCAAATTTCATTGTACTGTATATAATGACAATAAAGGCTTTCTATTCTATTCTATTCAATTGGAATAGTGAAAAAGGCATATTTACAATATCAACAACAATCTTCAAATATGTGCATGAATGTAAAATAAAATCAAACTGTAAGAACAATAAATAAAATGTAATATAAGATAATAAAATACTAAAACCCACTAAGAGCAACCAAAAGCTATTGCAAAGATATATATCTTACATTACATAAAACATCACAATATTTACACTTTTATTAAGATTAAGACTTATTTTGATTTATAATTTCATTCATAAACTGAAATAAAAATGCTAATGCTTACACTGTTATAATGTAAGTTGCTTCAACGATACATTTTTGAGTTGGGTTTAATTCATGTGAATGAGTGAGGATTCAGTTCTGTTAACTTACTTCTTTTATTAAGCGTTGGTGTGGGAGCAGAGAGGTCCCTGCCCATGTATGGCCTTAAAAACAATCAAAAGAGCCTTAAAATCCATCCTGTTGTGAACCTTATCGCCGTTCCTTCATGCTGATCAGGTGGTAATGAGGGTTACTTCATCGGGATGATGTTGAAGAAGTCACGAATCACACTGCTGCACAGCGAGCTAGTCACCTATCCATCCAGTCGGATGATGAGGAACCTGATTGTCGCTCAGGTCGGTGCACAGTCATGAGTCTGTGAAGGTGCTATCCAAAGAAAATTGTTTCACTTCTACTCGGTGCAATGGCGTAAAAATGTCCCTCCTTCCAAATCAGGTGCTGTTCAAAGGCCAGAAGCTTTGTCTGATGACGTCCCATTTGGAGAGCTGTAAGGCCAATGCAGGAGAGCGCATGAGACAGCTGCGACTGGTGATGAAGAGGATGACGGAGGCGCCTGATGATGTCACCGTCCTGTTTGGAGGAGACACCAACCTGAGAGACTCTGAGGTTTGTCTCTTCCATTCAGAGCTCCAGCAGGATGTTTTCTGACAATGTGATGAGTAGGGATGAGACATTGTAAATCGTGAATTTCCTCACATAAGTGACTTGAAGTTGCCTTGCTCACTAACGTACAGTCCAATGTTCCCTTTTAGCAAACAGTTAATGGCCACTTCTGGTACTGTGATTAAAAAACGTTCCCAATAGACCGCCAAAGACTGATGTCTGTAAAGCTCCATGCATGTAACTGTTCATGTAGTAATTCATAAAACTCACCTCTTTTTACCTACCTGCCATCCCATCCTAGGTGGTCAAAGTGGGCCTTCCCAGCTGCGTCTGTGATGTGTGGGAGCAGCTGGGAGAGCCGGAGCATTGCCGCTACACATGGGACGCCCACGTCAACACCAACAGGGACTTTCAGTTCAAGTGTCGCCTCCGCTTCGACCGGCTGTATCTGCGCCGGGCTGCCAAAGACGGCGTCCCGCAGGTGGAGCCTGACAGCATGGCCACGATAGGGCTGGAGAAGCTGCAGTGTGGCTGCTACATCAGTGATCACTGGGGAGTCTCCTGTGCGTTCTCCACTGAGTAGAAATGCACAAAACAAACTAAAGAACCTGTGTAATCTTTCCTCTCATTTATATATTTGTGCCTCAGAAGTTTCCTGTGAAGTTGGGGGGAAAGGTGTGTTTAAAGCTTTAACAGAGCTGGGTTTAGACGAGTGATGTTCCCTCTGTGAAAGATGCTCTTCTTACGTCATCCAAGATTGCTTTGTCATTTTTGTGTCATGATCTGCTACCTGGATTTATCTGTTAGAAGCTCTAACCTGAGTATAGTAGTAATAGTATAACGGTAACAAAAAACAGAGCTGCAAAGTTACATTTGTCAATAAAGAAAGAAATTAAGAAGGAAAAATATGAAGCCACAAAAAGCAAATTGAAACAAAATAAAACAACCTAACGACAAAAAGTTCAAGAGCTCTAGTCACAAAGTAGAGCAAGTGGTTTATGGGAAAGGAAAAGCTCGTTGGTGTCACAGAACTTGCATTTGGCAGCATAATAAAATAATTATTCTTAAAGTATTATGTAATTCAATCAAGTGCAAATACTAACTAGAAATATGATGAGTCCTCTTCTTGTATCGTGGCTGCATGTAAAACTGCTCCACCAATAAAGTTTGTATTAAAACATTATAATTTATTTCTGCTGATAAAAGTAAAAAACTGCAAAAATCCTCTTAATTGAAAGCGCGCGAGGCCTTTAACGGTCACGTGGTCGACGTCGTAGCCTAGGAGACGTTTTGTTTACTTCCGGGTTGTCAGAGTCGAAAACAAGAGGGGCAGCAGCACCAACACGCCCACGACGCCGAGCAAAGCGGATTAAAGTCCCGCAGAGATGGCAGGGGAGGCTGAGAACGGCATACCAGGTAAATAACGACGGTTATCTCCTCGCTTCACGCTGCTGCGGGTTCGTAACGGACACATTTAAACGGGAAATGTGAGTTCGACGTCTTTAAAGCGCGGGAGTTCGCGGTAGCTTCGGCTTTAGCTCCGCGGGCTAACGGGAATAATAAACCCACTTTCTCCGCTTCAACCTGTCAGTCTGTCGCTTATTGTGTCCGGTTAAACCGCTTTAGTGCTTTACTTTATTTGATATTTATGTTTGTATTCACCTTCTTCCCTCTTCTGGACTGTGAAGCACTTTAAAAGTTTGTTTTTGTGATTAAATATGAATGTCATGTTGTTATTATATGATCGATTCAGAAGCTCGTGTACATTACTACACTCACTTTAACTTTATACTTTAACTTTACATTTAAGTGGGAACTTTTATATTTTAATGAGCTTCACCTTCACCAGCCGCTGCATAAAAATCCTGTTTGCACATGAACGCATCATTAATACTAATCCAATAATACCATTAAACATTTGTTCCCAATCAATGCCTTTATTTTCACAGAGTATAATCTCTATAAACTCATAACATTTACTACTAGTTGAGTGTTTTTACAGTAAGGTTTTGCAGCTTTCAGTCAAATAGAATAAGTTTTATTGATCCCACACAGGAAAGTACAAATGCAAAAATAATATCAAATAATATAAAAAGAAAATAACAGCTGTATGTGCACTATATACACGTTTATATATTCAGATATGTTTGATAGAACATTGCACAGATTATTGAATACTCACACGGTGTGTAGCATTTATAGCCTGATGTCTATAGCCTATATTTCCACCTTATCAATCACATCTGTACATAAAAAAGCTGTTTATTATATTTCTTCTATTTTATTTTTACTTTTGTGTGGGCTCAGTCTTATCTAAAGTCTTATCTTATACTAAACATACATACATATATATATATATATTACAGCCAGAGGTAGTGGCACAAATAAAATCAAATTTATATGTTATAAATTAATTAAAATATGTATAATATATTAAAAAATAAGTATAATTGCACAGGACAAAATTATACAGACTTAGATTTGCACAGTGCAAGTATAATATAGTCTTAACAATGTGTATTATAAGAAGGATTATATATTTGTATAATGGCCCAGTAAAGGTATCGTATAATAATCTTAGCACTTCTTCCTCTCCTCCAGATACGCCGTTGATTTAATTATCTACTTTTTTTAATTAAAAGATTTTGGTTAATTGGACATTATGAGATGGAGGACAGTGAATCACAACATTAAAATCAGTGTGATCCTAGAGAGTACAGCGGCTGGTGTTCAGGTGACAAACCAATACAATAAATACCTAAATAATCAATAAAATCTGTACGATCTGTAGGTGGGTGAGCAGTTTTCCCAGGTGGACTTTGGACTTTGTTCAGTTTCAGCCTTTAGATGTTGGATTTTGTCTATTAAATGTCAGAAATGATGTCGGTCGTGAGTTACCACAGCTGTGAAGTGAAGTTCTCAAATTCCTCATTTTGTTTGACCAACAGTGATATTTAAGAAATCGTCATATTTAAGCAGCTGTATCAACACATATTTATATGTTCATTTTCGGTTTGACAAATTCAATAATAATCGTGTTTGGTTTAGTCTGACTCGTCACTTCTTTCTCTCTCTGTCAGAATCAGGAGCAGTTTTCACTTTTGGAAAGAGCAAATTTGCCGACAACATCCCCAGTAAATTCTGGCTTAAGAATGACGTCCCCATAAAGATAGCCTGCGGGGACGAACATACCGCCTTAATAACAGGTAAGACACATGTTTAAGGTATGGAACTGTATTAAAAAGTGTTTACTGATTCTGTTTAATGAGCAAAGAGCTAATGCTGGATAAAATCTCCAACCCTTCACTGGTGTGGTGTATCACTTAAAACCAAACCCTCCAGCTCAAGCACCCTGGAAATAAACCAACGCTTTCAGGAACTTCTGTCTTTGTCTCCACAGAAAATGGGAAACTCTTCATGTTTGGCAGCAACAACTGGGGCCAGCTTGGTCTGGGGTCCAAAGTGACTGTGAACAAGCCTACTTGTGTCAAAGGTCGGTCTTTAAATAGCTCTCTGTTCCTTAATTTAGTCCAGAAACAGAGAGTATTGTGTGTAACTGCTGCCACTGACAGCTGCCTTCAGCCTCCGCAGCAGCAGTGGACAGGAAACTCATTTAGGGACTATAGAATATATTTCCAAAGTTTAAAAAGTAGGATATGTGCTAAACAGAAATAAGTGCCCCTGGTAGCCTTCATATGACGCGTGAAGGGGGAACCCAGAGATTTGTTTCCCTTATAATCCCAATCTGGAGGGCCCATAATCTGGTCTAATCTAGAGAGACAGAGACGCTGCTGAGAGACAATCGGTTGCTGCTCGGATTTCTTTGCCCTCCTGCTAATATATGTTTGTATGGGACTAATACAGTGTGATCCACCAGTGCACATGAAGGAGGAGACATCTTGTGTCCTGCAGGAAAGCTTTAGAAATCAACACAATTTGCATATTTAATAGATTATGGGATTTTTAATGAGGTTGAAGGAGTTTTTAGGGTTTTAATGTGGAAGTTATACTTTTTATTGTGGATTCTTTTTAAATATATATTAAAGTACTGAAGTATGAATTTAGTCATGAGAGAAAAACAATTCTTAATGTGAGAAATGTGAGTCTAACGGAGAAATTAACACTTAATTTTAAACCAGCATGGTAGAAAAGTCCTTAAAAAATCAGAACAGCTCCTCAACTGGGGCTGCAACTAACGATCTGCCATTATTTTATAGATTAATCAATTAATCGTTCGATCTCTAAAATCTCAGAAAATAGTGAAAAATGTCCAAAAGTGTTTCCAAGGTGGCTTTTTTTAAATCTCTGGATTCGTCAGTCCGAAACCCAAAGATATTCAGTTTAATGTGATATTAAACAGAGAAAAGCAGAAAACCTCCACATGAAGCCCCTGTGCTATGATTGAAAGCTCTGGAAAAAGCAGGAACTGAAACTTGCTCCCAAGTTCAAGAGTGACGTTTCCAGCTCAGAGATAAACTGACTGCTGAAGTTGTGGCTTTGTAACAATAATAGGTTTGTTCGTTAAAATGTGTTTTGTGTGATTTCAGCTCTAAAGTCTGAGAAAGTTCAGCTCGTGGCGTGTGGAAGAAACCACACTCTCATCTGCACAGGTCGGTATCTGAGTCCGACGAGGTCCGACGCCGTTTGTCGGAAACACGACTGAGGAATCCGTTTTGTTTCCTTTTGTAGCTCAGGGAAAAGTGTTCTCCTCGGGCGGGAACAGCGAGGGTCAGCTGGGGCTCGGTGACTGCGAGGAGAGGACGGCCTTCCAGAGGATCGCCATCTTTGATTCACAAGGACCAATCAAAATGCTCGCTGCCGGTTCCAACACCTCCGCTGCTCTCACAGGTGACGTTCTGGCTGATGTTGTCGTAAAATGCTGATTAAATGCATATGTTACATTTATTTTTCAATTCATTTTTTATCTAAACTAAAATTTTAGAATTATATTTAGATTTAATCTGTAAATAATTGAACAATGTCCCATGTGAATGCGTTGCACAGAACACAGACATCCGTCCTGCAATGAATAAAATAATTACATTCTGATGAGAACAAGAGTTTTTAAAGCACATGGTGTTACCTTTCCAGCGTCACACATGTTTTATAGATGATGTCTTTATCTATTGCCCCTTATAGAGGGCGGTAAACTGTTCATGTGGGGCGACAACACGGAGGGTCAGATCGGTTTGGGGAAGGAGAGCCACGCCTCCTCGCCACAGGAAGTCAACGTGGGACGACCGATCAGCTGGGTGTCCTGCGGATACTACCACTCTGCCTTAGTGACGGGTGAGCACAGACGAGGTTGGGAACAACCGGCAGAGGATTACTGGGCGGGAGTATTTTAAATAGAGATCTTTAAATGAACCAATCGGGTGACAGAAAGTGAACATCTGAAACTAATTGTTAATTCTGAACCAGTTGATAGTTTGACAAAACATTCTTAACTCAAGATCCACTTCCTCCGGAGCTTTCAGCCAAATGTTGTGGTCTTCATCAGCAGATGGCGTTTGCTCAGTTGTGATCACGTGACAAAGCTACTTTATGAAATAACTAATTTATCAAACACAGCAAACTACATCCACTGATGAAGACCATGAGGTGTGGCTGAAAGCTTCTCAATCAGGAATGAACCTTCAAACTCAACTTTGAGATTTTGTTTGGTTGTTGAAGCACATCGAAATTAAATCCAAATTATAATTTCATGTGGAAACGGAGACTTTATGGTCAGTTGTCCTCTGTATCTCAGTCGACGGAGGTCTGTACACGTTTGGCGAGCGAGACAGCGGCAAACTGGGTCTGGGCACGGACCAGCTGGCCCGGCACAGAGTCCCTCAGCTGGTGAAGAGCATCAAGGAGCCGGTGATACAGGTGGCCTGCGGAGGCGGACACACGGTGGCGCTGACAGGTAGTGAACCTCCAGAGTGACATAGCTTTAAAAAAAACTACAAACATGGCTGCACACATCTGAGGTCCATTTCTACATCTGATCAAATACTGTGCTTTTGTCCGTCTGTGTGCTTCTTTCAGACGACGACGTGTTCACGTTCGGTCTCGGTCAGTTCGGACAGCTCGGTCACGGGACGTTCATCTTCGAATCACGGCTGCCGCGGCCCGTCGAGCACTTCAGGAAGGGACGAGTGTGTCAGGTGACCTGTGGAGAGAACCACACTGCCGTCGTCACAGGTGAACACTGCCTTTATTTCACCACCGCCTCTGATTTAATTGATTGTCTCATTACATTTTATTGAAGTGTTGCTGTTGTTTTTTAAGACTGCGGTTTGCTGTACACGTTTGGAGACGGCAGACACGGCAAACTGGGCCTGGGAGAAGAAAACTTTACCAACCAGTTTAAACCAACTCTGTGTCCGCGCTTCCTCAAGTACAACGTTCAGGCTGTATGTGTCTTAGTCTTAGTCTCTTTTTATTCATTCATCTTATATTTTTGTTTATTTTTATGTTAAATCGTAACATCTTTTTATATTTGTTTATATATTTATCCCATACATATTATTGTTATTTATTTTGACATGTTTATATTTTTACAATATGTTTTTATGTCATTATAAAATGTTAATTTTATTGTTATCAGTATGATTATTTATTGTATTTTATATATTATAAATGAATTATTTTGTATTCACATTTGATATAGTTATTTATCAGTTGGTTGGTATTTATTTAGTTTTTATTATTACTATCAACATTAGAAATTGTTTAATTTTGATATTTTTATCTGGGTACTAATGTGTGTGATACAGTAATCTTTAATAACAAGGGACTGTGTGTTTGTACAGGCGACGTGTGGCGGTTGTCACATGGTGGTGCTGGCGCGGCCGAGGGATCCCGAATGTGGCGATGTGATTTTGGAGGACGACGACGTGACGGAAGATTTCCTGGAGAAGCCGTTCGTGGAGCTGCTTGGGGGAACGGCTGACTCCTCCACCCTGCAGAGGAGCCTCTCGGCTCGAGTTCGCAGGAGGGAGAAGGTGGGTAGAGCTCCATCGATCAAACCAAGATATGATTCACAAAACAGCGCTGATACACAAATCCCATTTAATACGGACTTTCTTATATCGACTTTTAACTTTTAAACAAGTTAAAAAAGTAAATAGACCTCTAAATGAAGTCCCTCCCCCCCACTTCCCCTGCAGGAAAGATCTCCGGACCAGTTCGGCACCATGTTCCGCACGCTGCCCGCCATGATACCTGGCTACCTCCACCCGCCGCTGCCCGTCTCCAGCCAGACCATCCCGCCTAGACTGCCTCCGCCTGAGCTGAGCCACAGAAAGGTGCTCAACGGCACTCACCAACACAGGAGCGCAGGGTCAAACCACCAGGGTACCTACCTCACCTCCGCACCCTCCTCCTCCTAGTCCTCCCTCACATGTTTCCTCCTGGATCAGACCAACAGATTCAGTATTTTAATTAGGATAGAAAGAACATAACTTCGCTCTAGTTGAATCAAAATCAAATCAGAATTGATTTGTCAAGCATTTTTTTACAGGTAAGTGCAACTCCTGGGGCTTTACAGATAGCTGACAATAAGGCAAAAGCAAACAGGAAATCTAATTAAAAATATATTTTAATAGAAAGATGGAAGATTAAAATGTGATTTAAAAGGATAAAAGATAATAAAATAGATGGTAGATCATAAAAGCATTTTGAAAATGATAAAAATCTATTGGCCATAAAACATTTGAAACAAGACTAAAACGGTAGGATTTGTGTTCAGATTTAAAGATTTCAGCTGCTTTCAGATCTTCAGGTGAAAGTTGTCTCAGCAAAAGCTTTAGCAAAAAGAAACAGCAGCCTAAATTGGGACACATTGCCTTCGTTTCTAAAGAATAAAAAGGCTTTGACACGCTGGGATCAGGATGTTTTATAATGTTTTGCTGTTTTCTGAAGTGCTGCAGAAAACTGGACTAACTTGCTGTCCCGTTTTGTACCTCGTCAGAGCAGACAGGGGGCGAGACAGACAGCGTTGTGGAGAGCCTGACCGACACCGACAGCGTTAAAGGCCTGGGAGACACCACAGACTTCCTCAACATGGTGAGAAACCAGCGAGTCTGACAAATGATAAGACTGAGAAGTGTAACATTGTGGATTCATTTTCCTTTTTTTTTTATTCCTGCTTATAGACACACGTGATGAAGATGGATCCCAGTGATAAAACACTCACTCTGTCTCCAGTTCAGAAGGTAACTCAAACTCTGGCTAAAGCTAAAGCTAATAGGTTTGAGCATTTTTCACATTAACAGCAGCCATATTGATTCCTCGCTTCCCCGTCATTCTTCTCATTGTTGCACAATTCTCCTCCTCAACACCAGTTTCTCCTCCATCAGGTTGATATCTGAGGTTGTTTTCTTTCTTTACTCTGATAATCCTCAATTAGTCATGTGACTAAGTCCCGCCCCTTTTTGCTCTGTGCTCCAATAACAGTTGAGAAAGCCTCGGTCAACTTCCTCCTGTCCTGTAAAATTCTACACCACCTTGCAATCATTTTTCAATCAATGATTGGTCAATCGCAAATTTGACAATTTATAAATATTAGCTTGCTAGTTAGCGTCTGAATTCTTCTATATTTAAGGGACCGGTTTACCAGAGTTCAGAATCAACCTCATATACCACCTTGGTAAAAGGAAGAGAAACCAAAAGGTTTGAGGAAGAGTTGTGAAACCTGATGAACATTTCCCATTATTCCGTCATACATTTCAGATTTTCTCTTTTGATTTCTCTTTTCCTCTCTAATGCATGCCTCTTTTTCATCCTCTTCTTGCTTTCTCGTGCTGGGGATAGAGAAAGGGTAAGCATGGTAAAGGGCAGAAAGAGAACCAAAAAAAGGAGAGAAAGCTCTTGAAGCAGAGCAGTTTCTCTTCCACTTCCCCGTCTCAGAAGAGCGAGACTGTTTCTCCTCGCCGGGCGTTACCCACCGAGCTCCTGAGGGGCCACAGCGCTCGCTCTCTGGCCTCTCAGAGCTCACAGAGACAGAAAACAGCCATCCAGAACAAAGAGAATCTGATCATGGCCATAGAAGATCTGCAGGGGAAAGCCAGTAAAAACAAACCTCCGAGTGTAGGGGACATTAGGAAGGCGGCGTCCAAGCAGCGGCTCAGGCAAGTTCAGGGGAAAAGCCAGCTGATAGAGGTTGGCAGGAAGCTGGTACCAGACTCTGAACAAAGTCCTGAACCAAAAAAGAGAGAATCTAAGTCTGCATTGGCCAAAGTGAAGCAACCTGTCAGGGTGAAAAGCAAACCGATGGTCGTGCAAAGTCAACGTGCAGGAGTTAGCTCGCCAGGTAAACGCAGTCGCACAGGCTCACCTGAGTTTCATCTGAGTGATGCCTTGAATGAAGAGAGCTTACGTAGCCCTCCGCTGCTCTCCGAGGGGAAAAAAAACTCAGATTTTTCAAAAAAATCTAAGAATGAGAAAAACAAAAAAGAGGCTCAGTCAAAAAAAGGCTCAAGAGTGGCGACACAAAAACAGAAAGGGGCGTCAGATCTCGGCCTGCTCGCTGGAGCAGCCTCTCTCGCAGCAGGATCGGTATTAATGCACGAGGTGGCCTCCAGAAGACGTTTTAGCTCGGCGTCGCCATCCCCATCCGAGAGCAGCCGGGGGATCCTGAAAGACAGCATCACAAAATCCCGGAGCGAGGAATCTGAATCCTACGCTGCCGATTTTAGCAACAAATCCGCGATCAGCATCAACATCATACCTGCAGCTGAGAGTCAGGACGGGAAGGAAACGAGTCCGGATGAAAGTGAGGAGGAGGAAGAGGAAGGGCAGAGAACGAGTGCAGAAGTAAGCGAGCAAGAGGATGAGGAGGAGCAGGAGGATGAGGAGGATGACGATGAGGAGGATGACGATGAGGAGGATGTCAGTAACCGTGTCGAGAAAGTAACAGGAGGAGAAGAAGAAGAAGACAAAGACAGCGACACTCTTCAACCAGAAGATGAGTCAGAAACTGATGTAGATGAGGAGGGAGGGAAGGATGAGGAGGAAGATGAGAGTGGTGCTGAGGTAGAGGAGGAGGAAGAGGAGGAAGCGAGTGGAGCGGCAGGAAGTGAAAGTGTAGACGAGACTGAGGAGAAAGAGAGCAAAGGAAGTGATGTAGAAGAAGAGGAGGAGGAGGAGGAGGAGGAGGAGGAAAATGAGAAAGGGTCGAGTCAGGAGACAGAAAGCGAAGGAAGAGAGTCTGAAAAGGATGAGGAAGGTGAGGAAGAAGAGGGGGATTTGGAAAGCGAGGGTGAGGAAGAGGAGGGTGAAAGTGAGTCTTTAAAGTCCTCGGAGGAGAGAGGGGAGAGTGATGCTGAGGGTGAGACAGAGGGAGGAGAAGAGGAGGAGGAGGAGGAGGAAGAGGAGGAGAAACAGGATAGTGCTGAGGAGGAGGAGCAGGAGAGTGAAAATGAAGAGGAAGAGGAGGAGGGGGAGGAGAGTGAAAATGAAGACGAAGAAGAAGCAGAGGAAGAGAGTGCTGAGGAAGAGGTAGAAGAGGAAAAAGAGAGTGACGAAGAAGTGGCAGAAGAGGAGGAGGAAGAGGCTGAAGAGGAGGAGGAAGAGGCTGAAGAGGAGGAGGAAGAGGCTGAGGAGGAAGAGGTTGATAACAAAGATGAGAAAGAAGAGGAAGAGGAGGAGGAAGAGGTTGATAACAAAGATGAGGAGGAAGAGGAGGAGGAAGAAGAGGAAGAAGAGGAGGAGGAGGAAGAAGAGGAGGAGGAGGAAGAAGAGGAGGAAGAAGAAGAGGAGGTTGTTGAAAATAAAAAATCTGCTCAAGTCAAAAGACAAAGTACCAAATCTAAAAGTAAACTCAGGTCAGGGGTCAAAGGTCAGGCAGCAGGCGAGTCGGAGGAGTTTTGGGATGATGTGTTACCTCAGTACCTCAACCTGAAATAACGAAGCCTTCAAATGAGTCTGAAATCCAGACCTACTCCGTTTACAGTCATTAAGGAGCAGACAAAGATTTCTCCTCAGAAACAACAATAACTAATAATGAATCATCTGTTAATAAATAAAGCAGCAAACAGCTGTTCTATGTAAAGATATAAAGGCTGAAGCTCCTGCTGACGAACCCACGGAGGATCATTAACAACTCTACTGAGCTTTATTGTTTGTCTGTTTTTAACCCGCCGGTTTGGTGCTTCTATATTAGTATTTGTATATTTGAGAACAGTGTTTGTGCTGATCACGGAGGTAACTTCTGATCACGGCGGTAACTTCTGATCACGGAGGTAACTTCTGATCACGGAGGTAACTTCTGATCACGGAGGTAACTTCTGATCACGGAGGTAACTTCTGATCACGGAGGTAACTTCTGATCACGGCGGTAACTTCTGATCACGGCGGTAACTTCTGATCACGGTGCCTTTCTGCTCATATCTCTCTTATTTCATCAGTTCACATTATGCTTTCTGTGCTGCTTCTCTCTTACTCAGAACTGCTTTTGTTATTACATAATTGCTGTTATGTAACTGATGTTGTTTACTGATCAAATGTGTCTCAAGTTTTGTTTACTTCTTTTTGTGGCAGCTTAAAGATGGGTATATCTTGGTTGAACAATAGTTAGTTGTTATGCTCATAATGATGCAGTATGGGACATTTTCTATTGTATTGTGTTGCAGCTCAGTATTACAGAAACCTTTAAGCACTGATCTGCATTGCCACCGCAGTGAAGAGTAGCCATTATGGTAGGATTGGTGTACACTACAGTATAATTATACAGAACGCTCTTAAATATTCTGACTGGGATTATTCTTTTACGTCCTTTCTACTTTCTTTTTCTGTTTCTGTCTTTTTGTTCTTTTCTGTGTTTTTAATAAATAATTGTGTTTATTATTGTCATGTTGTTGGTTGTTTTTAAAGTATGAGGACTATAAAATGAATTTGGGATGGAGGCTGGAGGTAAACTGCCTGTTTCTGAATGTTTGTGTATCTCTCTCCTGCATACTGTGTCTACCTGAGACTGTAAGTGAAGCTAAAGGGGAACGAAGGTGACAGGTTGTAGTAACACCTCACAGAAACACAAAGATCCGAAGGCAGAGCTCATATTTTAAGTGACTGTGATGTGAAGTCAGCTCATTGTGATTACACTCATTAAGGTAAAAGAAAAAAAAAAACGTTTATGAATAAAGTTGTCGTATTTTGAATGACCTTCTGATGCTGAAGTCAACATTTCATGCAGTCTTCCTCCAATCTCTGATAATAAAGAACTTTTGGAAACCGTCACGTCGCTTTGTTTTCACGTGAAGTTCGTAGGTCAAATATAGAATATTTTCAGATATATTATTATCAGAACATCTTGAATGGTCAGACTAGAATCAAGTCTTCAGGATGAGAATGTTACATATTTTGCTTCATAAATAACCTCAATGACTTATTTAAAAAGTCCATCCTTTTCGTCAAATTTCCATAAACTCAGATGTCTGATGCTTTTCCGCTCCCACTCACCCAGCCTTTCACACTCAGGCTTTCTTCTTCCTGTCTTTGTAATCCCTCCTATAATCCCTTCCCATCATTCCCTGCTGCAGTCAGGAGGAGCTCACCGCTGCTCGTCTTTGTTTAAAGAGAGTTTTGTGCTGTTTGTTCAAAGAGAGCAGATCGAGGTCCACAGGCACTGAATCTGACCAGGATTGTTGTATTTCTCTTCACTTTTCTTCCACTTTGTGTCCTGTTGTTTGGTTAGTTGGTTAGTGTGATAGTAACCTGAGCCCTTGTGTGTGAAGCTTTCCTGCTACTGTACCTTGTCCCAACCGGTACACCAAATTATTTCATTTAACCTCGTAGTCGAAAAACATCTGAAGATGGAAATTATATCCAAATCAAACTATCCCGAGACTTTATTGTGTCTCATTGGAATAAAACTAAACTGGAATTAAACATGGTTGTTGTCTAAATTCACTCTTTGTGTCAGGATCTGAGTAAAGGATTTGCTCAGACGTGCAGCAAAGGTGAAGAGGATGATGATGAAAGAGAAAAAGATGAGGACAGTGCTGATGAAGATGAAGTTGAGGAAGAGGATGATGACACGTCAGCTGAGGTGGACGACTCGTCAGAGAAACAAACAGAGGAGACTCAGACTCCTGTAAGTTTATTATTGATGTTTTATTTATTTATTCATCACTCCTGTTGACTCTAATGCAACGTGTGATCTTTCCAGAAGCTCGAAGAGCTGAAAGAAGAATCCTCACCGGACGCGGAGCAGAAAGATGGTTTGTTCTATTAGCTGTTACAGTTATAATTTAAAAAACACGCTGTGAGAAGCAAAGACTCACCTGGAAAATAATTCTGACTCATTTATTCTATCAACAGAAGCTGAAACCACCGAGCAGCCCGACACTACGGGTAAAGAAAAGACAGACGATGGCCCCAAACCAGCCAATGGGACGACAGACGGCAGCTCCAAAAGCCAATCAGGCGCCAACAAAAAGGTACAACAACTCAAAACAAACCGGCGGGGCACTGTTTGTGTGAGCATCTCTTCAACAGTAACTACGACAGCATTGAACTGACGATAGATATTTCATCGCTCCACTCAGGACGGTACACCAAAATAATTCTCAGTGCTAGTGCAAAGTCACTATCTGTTCTGGGAATGTCCAAAACTACGAAGTAACTGGAAAGATATACATAAAGCAATACAGGAGGTTTAACACAGATATACCATTTGATTTCAAAATCATGTATTTAGGCTATATCCCCCCAGAACTGATAGCTATTGACAAATATTGAATGGGTGCATTACAGCAGGAAAAAAGGCCCTGACTAAAAGATGGATGTTGCAGACCGGACCTACACTAAATAATTGGATAGATGTGACAATAGATATATATTCTATGGAAAGTTACTTTTTCTCTCAACCTAAAGTTGGACATATTCATGAAACACTGGGAAAGATGGGTACAGTTTATTAAACCTTTAAGACCAAATTTTGTCAAGATAATAAGCTGAAGGAACGTCCACTTTTTATTTCATAGCTCACATCTCTCCTTTGTCCTCCTCTCAGCTCTCTCTCTTCAGACGGCTGTCCAGGTCCAAGCAGACCAACGACAGGGGCCAAACCGTAGCAGAGGCAGCCGTCCAGGGAGGGCCTCCCTCCTCTGCTGCTGCTGCTGGGAGCAGCGACGCAGAGGCAAACAGAGACGGAGCACAGCAGAGGTCTGTGCCCTCTGGAGCCAGGCGGCCCCGCTCCGGTGCCTGCACTGTGCTCTGATCCCAGGAGCAGAACTCTCAGGTGGCCTCTCGAAAAGTCAGACCCAAAGTGTGAAAAGGCTCATTAGCAGCAAGGCCCACTTAAAGGGACCCTGTGGCGTTGTCCTGTAAACAAACACTGTGTGTAACGCTGAGGTCTAACAAATGTGTTGAGAGCATTTCCTTCCCCACAAAAGATTTGTCTTTTAAGTATTTTAAATCCAACAATGTTCACATCCAAGCTTGCAGTCAAACTGCAGGTCTGAACCTCCACAGGGAACCTTTAACTGTGTTTTCAAGCGTTTCAGCTCGGGGGTGATGATGTTTCCATTCAGAGTTTTTGTCATTAAAGGTCCAGTGTGTAACATTTAGAAGGATCTATTGGCAGGAATGAAATCGGGATGTTTTCATTGGTGTATAATCACCTGGAAATAAGAATCATTGTGTTTTCGTTACCTGAGAAAGAGACGTTTTTATCTACAGATGCTGCAGGTCGCCTTCCATGTTTCTACAGTAGCCCAGAATGATAGGGCCTTCCACGCGTTTTTCACTCACCGTAGTTTCTCCTGCACTCATTCCCTGGTCAGACGCGAGTGGTGTTCAGTTACTAGAGTGTAGTGTACACCAATCACTAAATCCTACACACTGGTCCTTTAAGACACCTGTGGTTACTGGTGGTAAGTGCACTTTAATGATTGGTTTTTTTTAGTGGCAGTCAGATTTATGTGACAAATACATGACACTTCCTGTGGCTTCTTCACAATAAAAGCCACCTTTGGTTTGTCAGTGAGTGCTTTTAATGTTAAGCAGCAGCAGGATGTGTGAAGCTAATTTGAATCTAGTGCAGGAATGGTGGACTCCACCACTAACCATGACAACTACTTTACAGAGAATGTAATAAGATAATGAAAACGTAACATTAAGCGGAGTATCCCTTTAAACTCTGATTGGTTTTCTTTGTTATGATGTCATCAAAGACAAGCCTGGTTGGTCACCTGACCTGATTTCTGTGAATTTAACACTTTTGCCTCCGTTTGGAGCCGCCAACATGCCAGCTTTGCGAGTGCAGCTTTAAATCAACCACTACACTTTTAACCACTGTCTGTTCACAAGTGACCTACAGCTGAGCCTCCTCTTCCTCCTCCACCAGTATGACCAGTATCATGTATGCTGGGCGGTTTTTCACTTTAAAGCTTGTTGTTTTGGTTTGTGTGGCACATGTTTTTTATCCAGCAGCTGAGCCTTGAGGCGTGTCTGTGTGTGTGTGTGTGTGTGTGTGTGTGTGTGTGTGTGTGTGTGTGTGTGAGTTTTAAACTGTGAGGATGTAAATAATCTTATTTATTGTGACATGGTCCTTGAGCACATTTGCACTTTTGATGTGATCTGTATGCATTTCCAGTTTTATATTATGAACTGAAAATCTCATTTAACTGACCCACATGTTCATTTTTTATCATTTGGATTTTTGTGATATCAGTAAAGCGTTTTGATATGAATGTATGAGAGTCCTTTTTGTTGATTTACTCTCTAAAACCTGTGTAAACACTGACTTCTGACTGTCCATTATAACGTTAATGAGCAGCTAGTGATCACTCAAGGCTGAAAACTGCTATTAAAGCAGCCCAGTGTTGCATATATGTATGTTGTGTATCATAACTGTTTTAAAAGATTTGAAGTCATTAGCTCACTAATACATTTAGATAGCTTTTCTCTTTTTCCATTGTCGCCCCTATCTATTTATAAACTTTAATTCGGTTACCATTTACATGTTTCTTCAAACAGCAGAGGAACTTTCCATCTTAAAGTCAACTTGAACTTGGTAGGAAACTAAATAAAGTTGTTTTTTAAAAAGGCCAGATTAGTTTGTATGAACCTACACATTTCATGACTTTAATAGCAGGAAAATGACTCATTACATTAACGGTAGCTCCAGGCCTTTTCTTTTGTTCAGCACACAATAACAAGCATACAGGAACTCATGGAGAATACAAACATAAAATAAACATGAAAAGAAATGTGGGAATTTATAGAAATAAAAACATACAGAAACATAACTCTTCATGCATAAATAAGAATCAAAATAAAACCACAAAGAGAATAAATTCAAATAAAGTGTCCCCACGGTCCGTGTATGTTTTGGTCATTGGATTTTCCTTTCAGAAACAGGTATTAAAAAACAGAAAACGAGTGGTTATTTGATTTTCGTTTTAAAATACAAAAATTAAAATTGAAATACAAGGCGTTTTTCTTTTTCATGGTCAAAAAGGGATGAGCGAAATTAAAAAAATATTCGATTTTCATTTTCTATTTCATATAACAAAAAATAAAATCACTAGAAAACAGAAACGGAAAAAAGGCCTGTTGTTTCATATTCTGAGACCGGATGTTGTCATTTACAGGACGGTGCTGTGGAGAAGAAACAGTAGACTAGTAGACTGCGGTCAATCCAGCCGTGAGTCCGACCTCGGTGGTCAAATCAGCCGCACTTAAATTTAGAGTGTACAAGTATTCTCAGCATTATGGTAAATGCGGAGAAACAGCGTATTTACTTCCGGTTTTCAAAATAAAGGTATTTAGAACAGTAAGCTATAATTAAAATATGTTACATTAAAGTGTTTCATGCGCCCCTGATGAATAAAAAAACACTTTATATCGAGTATCTTTACTGCACCAGTGTGGAGAAATGCCAAAATAAAAGTCTCATATTTATGCCTCCAGAGATTGCATATTTGACCATATTTGAGGTACTGTAAAAACATATTGCTCAGTGTTTCCTGGCTATGGGTGAAGCATTTTCATTATACTTCAATAATGCTGCAGTAATCATGACAAAATTTCACACAAATGTTTAATAACATCTTGATAATATAAACACTAAACACTAAACACAAAATCCTACACAATTCTAATTTGTTTACTTTTCACACAAAATGCAATGCCAGTCCACATTCTTCTTATTTTGCAGCTCTGCTGTGTCCATTTGTAGGTAAAAGGGAAAAATAATTAGTTTTAACTTCAAAACACCATTGTACCTACTGTCTCTTCCTCACATATTATTTTTTATATTATTCAGTGTGACAGCTGTTACAGGTGGTTCCACATACAGTTTACATTTTTACAGTAGCTCAAATATAAGAAAATATGGAATCTGGAAGTATAAATATGGGACTTTTATTCTTCAATTTCTCCACATTGGTACAGTAAAAATGCTTGATATTAAGTATAGTTGTAGTCTTAGATGTGTAGAAGTCAAATATACCATCCATAGCCAGGAATTATTGAGCAAAGTGTTTTTACAGTAGCTCAAATATATGAAAATACCACTTGGAGGTACAAATATGGACTTTTATTGTTGAATTTCTCCAAATTGGTAAGTAAAAATGCTTGATATTAAGTATGTTTGTAGTCTCATATGTGTAAAAGTCAAATATACCATCAGTAGCCAGGAAACACTGAGCAATATGTTTTTACAGTACCTCAAATATGGTCAAATGTGCAATCTCTGGAGGCATAAATATGAGACTTTTATTTTGGCATTTCTCCACACTGGTGCAGTAAAGATACTTGATATAAAGTGTTTTTTTATTCATCAGGGGCGCATGAAACACTTTAATGTAACATAGCCTATTTTAATTATAGCGTACTGTTCTAAATACCTTTATTTTGAAAACCGGAAGTAAATACGCTGTTTCTCCGCATTTACCATAATGCTGAGATTACTTGTACACTATAAATTTAAGTGCGGCTGATTTGACCACAGAGATCGGACTCACGGCTGGATTGACCGCAGTCTACTAGTCTACTGTTTCTTCTCCACAGCACCGTCCTGTAAATGACAACATCCGGTCTCAGAATATGAAACAACAGGCCTTTTTCTGTTTCTGTTTTCTAGTGATTTTATTTTTTGTTATATGAAATAGAAAATGAAAATCGAATCATTTTTTTAATTTCGCTCATCCCTTTTTGACCATGAAAAAGAAAAACGCCTTGTATTTCAATTTTCATTTTTGTATTTTAAAACGAAAATCAAATAACCACTCGTTTTCTGTTTTTTAATACCCGTTTCTGAAAGGAAAATCCAATGACCAAAACATACACGGACCCCCACAAACCTTTAGTGCTACTGGAATACATTATATACAAGAAATATTAAACACACAGAAAAGATGCTGATGTTTTAGATTAGTGATCATAATAATGTCAGTAATTTTGGATGAACTATGATGAACAACTATGTATTTATGTGTCAGGTCTGAACAGATCATTTATAAGCATATTAAAGTTAAACCGTCGATGAGTGTTTCTACCGGCAGGGGGCAGCAGTGAGCTGACTAACTGCACTTTCTTCTTCGTTGCTTTTATCTCTCTATCGTTGGCTGTTGACAGCTGGCCGGAAGTCCTCCAGCGCTTTTTTCCTTCTATTTAACGGATAAAAACAAAGACTGAGAGCACATTGGAGCGACTGCAGCCGACAATGGAGGAATATCACAACGGCAGCGAGGTTTGCTCTTAAATCAACTCTTTTATTTTATATGTGCAGCTACAAATGAGCTAGCTTCTTAGCTAAAGGCGGGCTAGCTACATTAGCTAACCAGTGCTAACCAGTGCTAACCAGTGCTAACCAGTGCTAATCAGTGCTAACCAGTGCTAACGTTAAATCCAGATTATTTTAATTTAATATTTATTCTCATATAACGCTGTTTCACTGACTGTCTGTTGTTTCTCACTGACTGTCTGTTGTTTCACTGACTGTCTGTTGTTTCACTGACTGTCTGTTGTTTCACTGACTGTCTGTTGTTTCACTGACTGTCTGTTGTTTCACTGACTGTCTGTTGTCTCACTGACTGTCTGTTGTTTCACTGACTGTCTGTTGTTTCACTGACTGTCTGTTGTTTCACTGACTGTCTGTTGTTTCACTGACTGTCTGTTGTTTCTCACTGACTGTCTGTTGTTTCTCTGACTGTCTGTTGTTTCACTGACTGTCTGTTGTTTCTCTGACTGTCTGTTGTTTTCTCTGACTGTCTGTTGTTTCTCTCTGACTGTCTGTTGTTTCACTGACTGTCTGTTGTTTCTCTGACTGTCTGTTGTTTCTCTGACTGTCTGTTGTTTCACTGACTGTCTGTTGTTTCACTGACTGTCTGTTGTTTCACTGACTGTCTGTTGTTTCTCACTGACTGTCTGTTGTTTCTCTGACTGTCTGTTGTTTCTCACTGACTGTCTGTTGTCTCACTGACTGTCTGTTGTCTACTGACTTTGTTTCACTGACTGTCTGTTGTTTCACTGACTGTCTGTTGTTTCTCTGTCTGTCTGTTGTTTCACTGACTGTCTGTTGTTTTTCTGACTGTCTGTTGTTTCACTGACTGTCTGTTGTTTCACTGACTGTCTGTTGTTTCCTGACTGTCTGTTGTTTTCACTGACTGTCTGTTGTTTCACTGACTGTCTGTTGTTTCACTGACTGTCTGTTGTTTTCTGTCTGTCTGTTGTTTGTCACTGTCTGTGTTGTTTCTCTGCGTCGTTGTTTCACTGACTGTCTGTTGTTTTTCTGACTGTCTGTTGTTTCACTGACTGTCTGTTGTTTTCTGACTGTCTGTTGTTTTACTGACTGTCTGTTGTTTCACTGACTGTCTGTTGTTTCACTGACTGTCTGTTGTTTTCACTGACTGTCTGTTGTTTCCTGACTGTCTGTTGTTTCACTGACTGTCTGTTGTTTCTCTGACTGTCTGTTGTTTCTCTGACTGTCTGTTGTTTCTCACTGACTGTCTGTTGTTTCTCACTGACTGTCTGTTGTTTCTCACTGACTGTCTGTTGTTTCTCTGACTGTCTGTTGTTTCACTGACTGTCTGTTGTTTCTCTGACTGTCTGTTGTTTCCTGACTGTCTGTTGTTTCTCTGACTGTCTGTTGTTTCACTGACTGTCTGTTGTCTCTCTGACTGTCTGTTGTCTCTCTGACTGTCTGTTGTTTCCTGACTGTCTGTTGTTTCACTGACTGTCTGTTGTTCTGACTGTCTGTTGTTTCCTGTGTTGTTTCTGACTGTCTGTTGTTTGACTGCTCTGTCTGTTGTTTCCTGACTGTCTGTTGTTTCTTCTGTTGTTTTCTGACTGTCTGTTGTTTCTCCTGACTGTCTGTTGTTTCACTGACTGTCTGTTGTTTCACTGACTGTCTGTTGTTTCACTGACTGTCTGTTGTTTCACTGACTGTCTGTTGTTTCTCTGACTGTCTGTTGTTTCACTGACTGTCTGTTGTTTCTCTGACTGTCTGTTGTTTCTCTCTGACTGTCTGTTGTTTCTCTGACTGTCTGTTGTTTCCTGACTGACTGTCTGTTTTTACTGTCTTTCTGACTGTCTGTTGTTTCACTGACTGTCTGTTGTTTCTCTGACTGTCTGTTGTTTCCTGACTGTCTGTTTGACTGTTTTGTTTCTGCTGTCTGTTGTTTCTCTGACTGTTGTTTTCTGACTGTCTGTTGTTTCTCTGACTGTCTGTTGTTTTCTGTTGTTTCTCTGACTGTCTGTTGTTTCTCACTGACTGTCTGTTGTTTCTCTCTGACTGTCTGTTGTTTCTCTGACTGTCTGTTGTTTCTCTGACTGTCTGTTGTTTCTCTGACTGTCTGTTGTTTCTCTGACTGTCTGTTGTTTCACTGACTGTCTGTTTGTCTCCTGACTGTCTGTTGTTTCTCTGACTGTCTGTTGTTTCTCACTGCTGTCTTCACTGACTGTCTGTTGTTTCTCTGACTGTCTGTTGTTTCACTGTCTGTCTGTTGTTTCTCTGACTGTCTGTTGTTTCACTGTCTGTTGTTTCTCTGACTGTCTGTTGTTTCTCTGACTGTCTGTTGTTTTCACTGACTGTCTGTTGTTTCTCTGACTGTCTGTTGTTTCTCACTGACTGTCTGTTGTTTCACTGACTGTCTGTTGTTTCTCTCTGACTGTCTGTTGTTTCTCACTGACTGTCTGTTGTTTCTCTGACTGTCTGTTGTTTCTCACTGACTGTCTGTTGTTTCTCTCTGTCTGTCTGTTGTTTCTCTGACTGTCTGTTGTTTCTCTGACTGTCTGTTGTTTCTCTGACTGTCTGTTGTTTCACTGACTGTCTGTTGTTTCTCTGACTGTCTGTTGTTTCTCTGACTGTCTGTTGTTTCTCTGACTGTCTGTCTGTTGTTTCTCTAACTGTCTGTTGTTTCACTGACTGTCTGTTGTTTCTCTGTCTGTCTGTTGTTTGTCACTGTCTGTCTGTTGTTTCTCTCTGACTGTCTGTTGTTTCACTGACTGTCTGTTGTTTCTCTGACTGTCTGTTGTTTCTCTCTGACTGTCTGTTGTTTCTCTGACTGTCTGTTGTTTCTCTCTGACTGTCTGTTGTTTCACTGACTGTCTGTTGTCTCACTGACTGTCTGTTGTTTCACTGACTGTCTGTTGTTTCACTGACTGTCTGTTGTTTCTCTCTGACTGTCTGTTGTTTCTCTCTGACTGTCTGTTGTTTCTCACTGACTGTCTGTTGTTTCTCTGACTGTCTGTTGTTTCACTGACTGTCTGTTGTTTCACTGACTGTCTGTTGTTTCTCTGACTGTCTGTTGTTTCTCACTGACTGTTGTTTCTCTCTGACTGTCTGTTGTTTCTCACTGACTGTCTGTTGTTTCTCTGACTGTCTGTTGTTTCTCACTGACTGTCTGTTGTTTCTCTGACTGTCTGTTGTTTCTCTGACTGTCTGTTGTTTCTCTGACTCTGTCTGTTGTTTCTCTGACTGTCTGTTGTTTCTCTGACTGTCTGTTGTTTCACTGACTGTCTGTTGTTTCTCTGACTGTCTGTTGTTTCACTGACTGTCTGTTGTTTCTCTGACTGTCTGTTGTTTCACTGACTGTCTGTTGTTTCTCTGACTGTCTGTTGTTTCACTGACTGTCTGTTGTTTCTCTGTCTGTCTGTTGTTTGTCACTGTCTGTCTGTTGTTTCTCTCTGACTCTGTCTGTTGTTTCACTGACTGTCTGTTGTTTCTCTGACTGTCTGTTGTTTCACTGACTGTCTGTTGTTTCTCTGACTCTGTTTTTTTGTCTGTTGTTTCTCTGACTGTCTGTTGTTTCTCTGACTCTGTCTGTTGTTTCTCTGACTGTCTGTTGTTTCACTGACTGTCTGTTGTTTCTCTGACTGTCTGTTGTTTCTCTGACTGTCTGTTGTTTCACTGACTGTCTGTTGTTTCACTGACTGTCTGTTGTTTCTCTCTGACTGTCTGTTGTTTCACTGACTGTCTGTTGTTTCTCACTGACTGTCTGTTGTTTCACTGACTGTCTGTTGTTTCCTATATTCCAGGGCTCCTTCAACTCTGAAGAAGCTGATGGCATTGTAAAAGAGGTAAGTATTAAAATAACCCAGCTGTGAGTGTTGGTTGTTTTTAGTAACTTTTGAGATTATGAGATAATGAGATAATGAGATAATGAGATAATGAGATATGTCTCATCAAAAGGGCTGAATTTCCAAGACAGCCAACAATATATATATTATATATATATTTATATTTATATATATGTATGTATATATTATATATAATTTATGTCAAATCGGAGAAACATTTTGGAAGACTACAACAACGTTCTTCTACAAATAGTGTAAAGTTTACTGATTTAAGTATTTGGAAAAATAAATTACAGTTTGAACTGTGCTCTGATTGAAACGGGAATCTTTAGTACAGATCAGTGTTTACTCTTTATTTCATCCTCCTCAGGGTGAAACAGCACCCAGTGACTTCCACATGACTGAACACTGTGTCTGTCTGTCTGTGTGTGTGTGTGTGTGTGTGTGTGTGTGTGTGTGTGTGTGTGTGTGTGTGTCTGTGTGTGTCTGTGTGTCTCAGTGTATCGAGAGCGTGGTAGGGGCTGATGACTACAGCCAGAGTCAGGTGAACAAATGGACCGCCAGCATCGTGGAGCGCTGCCTCACACAGCTGGTCAAACAGGGGAAACCGTACAAGTACATCGGTATGTTTCAGTAGTCTGGTGATTCTATAAAATCTAACTAATGTCTGTATTTCAGAGGGAAGAGAGTGAGTTTTGGATCTGATGCAGTTTTCCTACCAAAGTAAAATATTGGTGTTTACTGTTCCTCCGTACAGTGACGTGTGCTGTGATGCAGAAAACGGGAGCAGGCCTCCACACAGCTAACTCCTGCTACTGGGACACCGCCATGGACGGTAATCAATATCCCTGACCGTTGTTCTGTGTTCTCTTGTTTTAGTGATCAATCACCAGTGTTTTATTCTGCTTTCTTTAGTTCTACCATTGTCTCTTCTGTTCCCTCCAAACACTGTCTGCTGTTCTGTCTCTGCAGGAAGCTGCACAGTGAGATGGGAAAACCGCACCATGTACTGTGTGGTCAGTGTGTTTGCGGTGGCTATCGCATAGGACACACACACGCACAAACGACCACCACAACCACCATCCGAAGAGTGCAGTGTGGTCCTGTGAACAGCAGGGGCCACCAAGTGCCACAGAGTCCACATCCAAACAGCCGCGTGTCCACCTGGAAGCTTTCAGCTCTGAGGAAAAGCTGCAGGAAACAATACGGCTGTATTTTCTTGTTTTCAGCCTTCAGATGCATGTAAACATCATCGTCTTAATGTATTTATCTTCTCATGTCACTGCAGTGCTTTAATAATGTCGTATTTCTCACTCACTGAGGCCTGACGGCACGCAGCAGCATTCTACTGGATTCTTCTTTTGTTCTCTGATGTTCATTATGTGTATCACGCCAACAAGAGAAAGCGAGGGTTTTGTATTTGGAGCTGCAGGAAAATAAACGTGAAGAGATTTATGAGCAAACATTGCGAGGCCTTCTTGATTTTAAGGCGTGCTAGAAAGTTTAGCATCTGTGAAGAAAAGTAAATGTAAAGTAAATCGTGTAATAGAAGAATGGCCAAGAAAACACTGTTTGCCGAAAAAGAATCCTATTAAGTCTGTTTGATTGGTAAAAATTATTAATAAAAATACATAATACAGACAGAGAATTGTATAATCTGCTCTAAATTCATCCAAATCACTCTTTTCACTCACACTTCTTGCAGTTAGTGACTTCACTGTTTGGGATAATTGTACAGTTTTGAATATAATACGAAACATCTATAAAATATGTAAATCAGATTACTAAATGATAGAAAAGGGCTCCCCTGAGGGAAAGCTACCCGGCAGTGTATAAAGTAATAAAAATATGCACCACTTTCACCAGCTGCAACATTAAAGTGATGGATACATTAATGCATCAATTATTTTTAGACTTTCTTCATAATGAGTAGTTCAGATAGAGGCTTTGTCCTCTTGGGAGGTCAGTTTTATTCTTTAGAACTGCTGTGAAAAAGAATACAGTGGGAATAGAAATGTTAAAGGTCACATGATTGCGCCGGCTGAAGGTTTTCAGCTGCTTTTGTGCACAGAAGAATATATTTGTGTCACAGATTGGGACTCGGTGGGAATAAAGAGTTTTAAAACTCACACTGAAACATAAACTGGACACGCAGTCCTTATGTCTGCTCTTACTGATAATAAAGCAGCAATTTTCTATGGAGTTCCCTCTTCTGTGTGATTTAGAAAGAATCTGATGAATGGAGTGGGCGGGTCACAAAGCGTCGATGGCTTTAAAGTGCCGCAGCCATAAAAGGAAATCCACATTTCTGATTTTCTGAGAAAGTGGTGGAAATTTTATAGCAGCAATAAAGCCACAGATTTAGCAAAATGAAAGAGATGAAAACATTTTCATCCATCCCTCTGCATAATACAAATATGGCAATATTCATAAGGTGTTGTATTTCACTGCAGCTTTTCAGCATCTTCTATTATTTTGGGATTTTTCAGACACAGTTTAATTTTCTTCACGCAACAAACGAAATGTAAGCTCTCGCTGAGGTAATAATGGCATAATTACACAATTATAGGACTTGGAAAACATTTCATAGGTGCACAGAGGTTGCTCAGTTATCATGGAGACTGTCCACCATGGTTGTTAGGCTATCAAAAAACTCCCCTCTGATTGGCTGTTTTCGTTCGGCCCGGTGGATTCTTGCAAACACCATTCGGAGCTCAAGGAGGAGCCAGAAGAACCTGATTCTTTCACAGATCATCTGTCTCATGTTCTACAGCGAGGACAAAGTAAAGGTTTCTGCGAATATGACAAAATTACGTACTTTAATGAATAAAAATTATAATGGCAACTTTTTTAATTAGCAACATAATCCATAACTTGATCTAAACTTTAGAATCAGATTATGTATTATATAAAGTATGTGCACACATGCATGTCATTTTTCTGGTTTTATTGCTCACAGGAATAGAAGAACAACAAAGCTGAACAAAAAATGGAAAGGAGAATAAATTCTCTCATTATATATAAAAGCCTCAGTAAGGATTCATGAAGAGTGGGTGCATAATTGTTCCGACTGAACCACAAAAAACAAACCACTTATAATAAAGTCTCAGTAAAATGATGGCCTTACACTAAAGTTCAATGAATAAAAGAGGATGTATAAATACACCTGGAGCAGGAAGCAGAGTTTGCTGATGCATCTAGTATCAAAACTGCTTTTCAGAAATTGTGCCCGGCAAATAGAAAACTAAATGAAACAGAAAAACAAAAACAGGAAGAAAAGTTTGGAAACCAATTTCACTCACTGATGTAACAGAAAAGCAGAACAGGGTGATGTGGAAAATACAGTGGGGTTATTTCCACTTCTTTTTGAGCAACAACGGCATCTTTGCAAAACTCATGCGGTGAAAAGTGAAGAGAAGAAGGTCAGTTCAATCAGGGTTCCCGCTCTTTTTAATCATCTAGTTTCCAGGACGTTTTCCAGGACTTGTCTTGACGATAAAGGCCCCCAACTATAATTTATAGATATATATATACATATAATTTACCAGTAAGCCGAGTATACACTTCACCCCTGTTTTATTTCTCTCAAATTGACTCATATACTTCAGTTTTCCTTTAACAGTAACACTAAAGCTATAATCTGTAACATTTCCTCATATCTATATGTAGTTGAGTTCAAACGTTTAAACTGGGCTTCTTCGAGAATTTCTCTCGCAGCTTCAGGAAAAAAGACTTTTGACACCAAAAAGGTCGCTGCAGTCGAGTTACAAACTAAACACACACCTGATCTGAGTGAGGGGCTAAAACACAATAAAACATTTCCAGGTGTTTCCATGACTGGAAAACTAGTCAGGTTTTCCAGGATGTGTGAGAACTGTGGTATATATTTAGGTAGATTCAAAAGATCACGTTTGTGTGTAAACTATTTGATGCATTAATACGGAACTGCCGGCCTCAGTAAACCAACTTCTCGCCCCCACCACTACTTGGGATGCTTCCTCTCTCAGGGGTTTTGTGGTTGTCGTTATTGTTTCGCGGTGGTTTTTAGAAGTTCTCTTTGTTGAAGATGAACTTGACGTCGGCCTCTGAGTGGGACAGACACTGTTTCTCCAGAGATTTCCCCAGCGCTGGTGGACCGCACAGGAAGACTCCCGCTTTAGTTCTACAAGGAACAAAAACACAAGTGTAATGTATGTGACTGTAATTATTATTATTAGTGGTGGTTAATTCTAGTGTGTGTAAACTGAGCGATTAAGACCTATGATCTCTAAATCTTACATCAGAGGTGAGTTTTTATGATGGTTTTACTGAAAATAAAAGCCAGAAATATGAGAAGAAATATCACAAGAAGAAGAAAAAAAGTGACTTATAAAACGAGATAAAGTCTAGTAAAGGTTCCCGCTACCTGCTCGCCAGACCACCATCCATAGACCACTATCCACCATAGAAGTAGTAGTAATAGTAGTTGTAGTATTAGTATAATAGTCTTACAGACATGAAAACTGTTCCAGTTCCTGATGTTGATTTTGTCCTGTACTTGTTAAAAGATAAAAATAAAGTGTGTGTGTGTGTGTGTGTGTGTGTGTGTGGGTGTGTGTGTGTGTGGGTGGGTGGGTGGGTGGGGGTGTGTGTGTGTGTGTGTGCAATGTGATAAAGGGCCTCACCCTGGGTGCTTTGACTCAATATTGGTGAACTCATTGTCCCAGTTAGGTTTCCCATAAAGAGTCTTCTGTTTGAGTCCAGTGATTGGGTCGTTCTCCGCCTCGTGGTGAACACGGAAGTGAGCCGCCTAATGAAAGATAAGACCACATGGCTCATATTAAAAAATGTTTACTAGTTTGTCAATATCAAATGGGTTAATACAGGTTTTGTCCTCAGCACCAGGGTGTCCTATCTGAGGTCATAAGCCAAAACAGTTAGGAACCAAAGCAATTTTGAAACATATATATATAAGTGGTTTGATGTTAGATTTTTATCTGTAAAATAACTAGTAACTCAGTAAAAAAGCAGGATAAAATGGAAATACTCAAGTAAAGTTACATTGTACTTAAATCGAGTACTTGAGTAAATGTTTCCACCACTGCGAGGCATAAGGAAAAGACCATAAAGACATCGCGTGACCCCGTCGTACCTCGGTCTCCTTCCAGCGGGTGAGGTAGATGTTGTAGCTGAGGAAGTCGGTCATGCCCTTCTCCGTCATCTGACCCTCCAGAGACTGCAGCAGGTCCGCAAACCACTCAAACGCCTCCGTCTCCGGGCAAAGCCAGTAGAAGTAGATCTGGGGAGGAGAGCGACGCACAACTTTATTCTTTTGAGTAACTTGAACATAAAGATGGTCCACTTGTACAGTAGCCTTTTCTGGTGCTTTCAGCTGTATCACATGGTCTTCATCTGCCAGTGGAGCTGGCTCAGAAAACTTTCCAAGGTCAAAAATTAAGTCGTAACGGTGCTATGGAAATCAAAACAGCTACTTAGGTTGCAACTATGATGAAGGCTGTACGATACAGTTGAAGTGGACTTACTGCTATCATTCCCAAGCTCAAGAATGAGCTTTGATGTTTGCGAGAAATTCAGATTAATAAAATAAAAAAAAGATAATAGTTGTGTTTGTTGTGGTTGAAAGCTCTGGAAAAATCCAGTAAGTGGAACTTGAGTTGGGTGACCTCCCTCACCTTCTTGGTGAAGACATCCTGGTTGTTCTGGATGCGTTTGTACCACACAGACTTAAGGATGGAGGCGAAAGGAGTCACACCGATTCCCGCGCCCACCAGCATCACAACCTCGTAACGAAACACGTCTTCACTGGCTGTACCAAACGGACCGTCTATGGCCAGCCTGAGAGAGACAAAAGATATCACTGGGACCTACAGCACAAACTTTTTCTATATATACAGAATATACATATAATCCCACTGGACAAAAAGGACCTGTACCCGGAAAGATTCAGTGGTAAACAGGTTTATAGATCTGGGTCCAGATCTGTACATCAGTGTTGCAGTAGTTTCCTTCACTAAAACTAGCAATAAAACAATGTAAACAACAATGGCATTTCCAGTGCTGTTTTTCTTAGTGTTAGGGTGGTTATGTGTTTACATGGAGACACAATTATGCAGGCATTTAGGAGAACCTCACCAGCACTGCTGTACGCAGGGTTTTAGAAATACTGAGGTCCAAAAACTGAACGAAGAGGGTCTGGCAGCATCAGAGCATTAAAGTAGTTATGTTTCAGCAATTATTTCACAACTTGTATTTTCTTCCCCTTGGAAAAATACTGAGGTCCAGACCTTGGCGACCTCAGTGGGGGTACGGCTGTGCTCGCCAGAGGTGGCAGTACCCAATAAGAAGTAAGGGGAATGAGCCGCTGTGACTGATACGTTCCATATATTATGAGCTTTTTTACTCTGCTGTATCAGTGCATCAGTATGCTGTTATCTCACACTGAAAGCTCCACTGGAAAGGAAGTCTGTTTTTTCTGCATCAAGAACTATTTAAATTTTTGTCAGCAAACACCAATGTTTGAATGGCTTGTTTGTGTACTGTAAGTACAGTCAATATGTATCCTTGAATATAATTTCCTCAGAGGCTCTTTTATGGCCGCTCTGAGGAGAGTAGTACTGAGTAGGAGCATCGTGTAAAGCGTATGAGTGTTGGGAGGATGGGTATATTGTATGATTTCATCTGTTCTCTGTCCTTCCAACCCCTTCTGAAAGGGTTAGAGTTGCACACAACAGACCTGTCCAGACTGTAAATGTGAGTTCCGCTGCCAGGCTTTCAGAGAATAGCTTTACTGGGGAGGCAGAAGATGCAATCAAATGTAATCATAAGCAATCTTAGGAGCAATTTTTCTCCATTATCAATCCCTTCCCATGTTGTCGTACCTAGGCAGTTTCCAGGCCTCCTGAGGTTCGGTTTTGTCTCCTACACAGGCCTCATACAGTGCCTGAGTCCAGTCTCCCACGATACGGATGTGGGCGCTGAAGTAGTCCTCCTCGGGGGCCGAGGTCAGAGTAAAGGGGTGCCACTCCAGCCTGGAAACGGACGGACACTGGATGAAGACATACTGACCCACCTCCATGTGGAAACCTTTCCTCTTCATCTGTAGCTCCAGAGTCTTGGAGGGGTGCATCACCACCTGAGGAATTGGTACGAATTTATTAGGTTTATTTATTTAAGCATTTATTTGTCAAATAAGAGCTGCAGCTAAAACATAATTTCAGTATTGATCCATCCAGTCTTTATTTTTTTCAGCATTTGCTTGATTATTTGTGTAGTCAATACAGTAAAATGTCAGAAAATAATGAAAATTGCCCATCACAACCTCCAGGAGCCCAAGATGATGTCTGCGCTCACGTCATTGTGGTCATATTTAATTATATCAATACAGAAGAGAGAAAAGCAGCAGATTTGGAGGATGATGTTTGGCATTTCTGTCTGATAAATGACTGAAATTATCTGATATACTCTAGTTGATCATCCCAAGGAAAACCTGCTATTTTTGCATTCCAGGAACTGTTTGGGTTCCGAACCCATTTATTTTTGGCTGAATTGGTTCAGAACTCCTGCAGAGTCGGTTCCCTGTTGGTGGAAAAGGCAGTTGCCAGTTTATTAGGTGCACATAGCTAAACCTAATGCAGTCTAATACGACAGTCTAGTCTGGCGATTTAGTGATATCTAGTGGTGTAGTTGCTGATTGCAACTCCCTCGTGTCATCCTCCAAGCATGTAGGACAAACTATGGTGGCCGTGAAATGCGCAACAAAGGTGAAACGAGCGTGCTGGGGTTCAGCGTCTCGCTCGAGGACACTTCCACAGCACTTCCTTGACAGGCCATGACTGTTCACATCTTTTTTATTTAGCACATACACACCTTGGTGATGACCACTTTCTGGTGGGATCGATAGATGCGGACGAGCCTCTCACACACATAGAGGATCATGGGGCCCACAACCCACTTCCATGTCTGAAGAGAAGGAAAATAATGGGAAAAAAGAGTATGTTAAATGCTCTCAAAGCATCAACGTCTTTTCTGCCTGTGGCTTGAGTCAAAAACATATGAGCCATTATATGACTTCACACCAATGTAGTGCATTAAAAGCATTTCCCTTGAAAACCCTGCAGTCTTTAACAGCTCACCATTGGTGGGTTTCCAGCAAACTCAGGTACAGCACAGTTGGACCCATTTGTTCCCCAGTCTTCAAACTGGTCGGCACAAACATCGGGGATGTTTGTCTTCAGGCTAGCGGCCGTCTGTCCTCGCACAATCCTCCTGCAGCCAGCGAACAACACCAAGGAGGAATGAATATTTAATAATGAGTATTATTACTGTTAATATTAAAAGTGAAACTCAGGGAATCTGGACCTTGTAGTGTTTTAATAATATTATTAGATATATAATATTATAACATCAGTATTGGCTAGTAGTTGGCTAAAGTGGTACTTAAATGCAAACCACACTTTATCTAATTTTATATTAGGCCACATGTAGTTTATATTTCATATACAATTTGAAATCAGTTTGCATTGCGTCCGCACCCTGTGTGTCAAGTTTGGTTCTACGATATATAAAATAGGTCAGTAAATGTCCCGTCTGTGAATTTTGAAGCTTTTCTTAAAAAAGGCGTTTGCTTTCTGCCATCTGTGCAGAGACTGAGATATCACAGCTGATGATGGTTTACAGGTACAAGTGAGGAATAAGTGATAAGGCACTATAAATTGCCACAGCTGGAAGTAACAACAGCTGTTCTGGTGCTGTTGATGAACCCCCCTGAGGCACCACATCAGTGAAACTGCATCTATGCTCACTGATATATCTCACGGGTGGTACAAGGACAAGTGCCCAAGACTGAGACAGAACCAGGCATATGTGCATTAGTGGCCATGCCCAAGACAAGACAGAGTCAAAACAGTATAGACAAGTCAGAAAAAAACTGTCCAAAGCAGCTTCTCTATCTCTAACTACAGATTATTTAGTAGGTATTTCTAAAAAGTTAACTTAATTAACTGTGCCTTCTTACCCAAAGCCGTGGAATACCAGTCCAATGAAGAAGATGACAAAGAGATGGTGCGTGTACCAGAACACCTCGAAGTAGGACCTGCGGATGACCTCCATGGAGGAAGTGATGATGAGGATGAGGGCTAGCGTGATGGCCACGCCTGTCAGACCGGCAATGGTGGTGAACATGACGATGGTAGGGTTCTGCACCAAAACACAGGTTTGTAACAATCAGGTACTTCAGATATTTACTGATTATCATTTTTTTTTATCAAACCTTTTCCTCATTTTCTCCTACAATATGTGCACAGAGCTGATTAGTCATGGCAGTGGGTTGTGGTCACAGAAAGGTCGAACAGTTACTCACTTGTTTCCACTTAAATCAGCCTTGCAGGTGATGTTTATGTGCATGTTATGTTTTGTCATAAATCCTCTCACTATGGAGACGGGCTGGAGGCATGTACTGCTGGTTGTGATGTAAGGTCAAAAAGGGAAATACAGTTTTTAAGTATGAGGCTAGTTTGGATGCTAGAAAGCAGACTGGTTGACGTGAATTTCACTGGGATTATAGGACATTGTTTATAAATTACACTCTAATGTGATAATTGATGAAATGGATTACAGAAAACATTTAAAAGTAGCACTAAACTAAACACTAAACATTAATGATTAAGTACTCTTTACAGTTGTTTTCACAGTACTATACTGAAATCTTGCATTTGCAACATTTGAAATCGAACTGTAGTTCAAAGCAAAGGAGAAAACCAACCTTACAGTAATGTGAGCTTTTAGCACAAATTTTAGTATGTTTCTGGCGTCAGATTCAGAATATTTCAGAGCCTGGATTAAAAAAAAGTGGAAGAGGACTGGAGAAGCTTTCTTTGTTTTATAGCTTTTGAAGCCTAAAAGTGTATCTGCAAAGAGGAAGTTTCTGAAATGACCACATATCTGAGAACGAATACCCCCGAAGAGGAAGTTTATCAGATGAAGTAAATTTTTTTCTCATTGAAACCAAATTTTGCAATTAAATAGAGGGGAATTTACAGATTTTAGCAACACAAGAAGCATCCAACAAGTATGACTGAAAAAAAAACAAATAAGCTGCAAGTTTTCTTTGTGAAACTTGTATTCTCCAGTAACTACAACTCACCGTCTCGTTAGACCTAATGGGGTTCAGGAAGGACGCATTGTCCCCAGTGCCAATTTCAGACAGGATGAAGGGCAGAAGGCTACTGTTGCGATTTAGCTGGGCATCCATGAAATACTCGAAGTTAAACAAGTGTGCAACGATGTGCACGGCTAGGAGAATGTGAAAAAGGAGAGACATGTTATGACAGTGTCTTTAAATACTCAAAACTTATCTCAAATAACTGAAGTTGCTTAATGCTGCTCGTAACTAATTAAAATGACTAAAACCAATATGAAGTAATAGTAAAGATTGAGGTTCAATCAGTTGGGAATTCAGTTGTTCATTATTTGGAGTTTGGAGAGGGAACAGTATTGTTATATTTAAACACAGTTACTTTCTATTTGATTCTTAATTCAAAATCCCCTGAATTAGCATATTTCAAACTGTGTTTTATTGGGCAACTTGTTAATGTATAATGTAAACATATAATGGCTTATAGGTGTTTGACTCAAGCCACTTTCTTATCTTAATGTGGATAAGTAAAACATAATAGCAAAAATCAGATATAGTCTTATTTTTCCAGAACTGATTATTGTAACACCCTTTTACATCTGTAGTTAGAATAATACCTGTATGGAAGGCGATCATGTAAGCCACCAGTTTGTGAAAGGTAAGGTTTCGATCTAGTTGACGAGCTGCTGTGCGGCTGCAGCACTGAATACAAACAAGAAAAACAACAATTAAAATGATGAGCAATGAGAAATCGAAGCAGAAACTAATCAAAATAAACCCCAACAACAGCAAAAACGTTATATAAAATCAGTCCTCTAATTGTTACAAAAAGCAAACATTACACAAATTGGATCTGTCATTTGCTGTAAATACGTAATTGCCTTCATTTTAATAGTTGAATAAATGGTTACTTCTCATACTGCTCAGTGATTTGGAGTAACCCTTATTTTTTATGGATACCTGGATGGAGCCACGAAGGAGGGTGAGGAGGTTTCGACAAACTGGCAACAGAATGAGCATGCAGTTGAAGTTGAGGCAGGCAGCAGGAGCTCTGGCCCAGGACAGAGCTTGCTGATGGGTTAAAGCAGAGCAGTTGGTTACTTCAAAATGTAATCAGGCTACTTTATGGTGCTCATTTTAATATGTTCTTCACATAAACATGATACTAATATTATCCTTAACCTAAAAGTTTTCTAAAAAAAGGTTCAAAGCAACAACTTTTGTGATGATATTTAAATATAATAAAACACATAAGTTCACAAACAGATTGAAGGAGTCTTTGTTTCACTTCTGCTCACTCGGCGGCGGCTCTGCAGCCGGTGCTATTGACTCATTGTTTCATGAAGCCAGCTGTGACCACAGAGCAAACTTAAATCCCTGACATCAGACCTACTTCCCTTCACTACAAGGCAGTTTAATTGTATATAGAAGTTGCAGAAGATAAGGGTTTAGAGACGCTTACATTCAGGAGGATTTTATACTGTGGCACCTTGTTATGGGAAAAACAAAAAGGAATCTTATTTTAAGTTGAATCATCAAAGTTGGTATCTTTCTCAGTAAATATGTATTTATTTGTACTAAATGTGTAACATGATCAATTTTCATCATTGTATTTCCCTTGTTTGCCTATTTTGTCAGACCATTTTATGACAGTGAAACGTGTTTACAAGTTAGTCTGTGGCCTGTGCTTTGAGAAATATCATATAGTAAGTTATATTAATTAATATTTCATGCAGTATTACACTGCTGCAGGGACGTGCACAGATATTTTGGGGGGCTGTTGCTCTAACTTGAGAAAAGGCCCATGAATAACCAGTAAGTAAGCACAGTATTATTAAAATAAGCTGTATACCTAACACGGTTTCTAGTTTTTCTTGTCAACCACGAGCTAATTCAGGCTACACTTCCACATATCTGGTGTGAACAAGTTATAACCGATCATCGTCCTTTTGTGACTCAAATCTGCTAAAATGTCAGAAAATGCCATCACAATTTCCCTCTTAAACGATTGCTCAGTATTCCAAATAGTAATAATAATAATAATTTTCTATTGATTGAGTAATTGTTGCAGCTCTAGATCTGTATACTGTGCTCTGCTGTGTGACATACAGTCTAAGAAAGGAGAGAGAAGAGCAGGTGTGCTGCAGTGAGCGTTATTAAAGCACTTTGATGTTAATGGGCCCTTAACATTTAGAGGAACTGAAAGAGACTGTGTTCTGTTTTTCAAAATTACTGCTTGCACACTTTCCTGCACCTTTCATGAACGGTTTGATTAGTCGTTTATTTTTTGTTGTGCAACGATTTTGATGCTTAAAGACAGCAGAGCATCTCATAGAAAGAGATGATAAAGGTGCAGTATCAGCACACAACACTTAACACTAAATTCATCAATATTAGTGATGCTCACCCCAAGCAGGACCCTGGTGTAAAACCACCTCTCCACCAGGAAGGCCATGTAGAATTGAACAAACAGGAAGGCATTGATCCCCAACCATACCAGCTGTAACACAGACACAGACACATTGCATGTTATATAAAAATGTTTCACTCCAATTCAGTCCAGAATAATTCATAATTCCTGAATAAAACAACTGAAATATGTCTCAGAATTCACAGACAAGGCCGGGAATCATTCAGAATTTACAGAAACAATACCTTCTTCAGTACTGATACCAAAATAACACTTTATTCATTACATTGTTGGGAAACATGTTTTAAAAAAATGTCATATGACAAAAGAAGCCAAACGAATGTCAGATTCTATACAAACACGTCACAAAGACGTACATTTTCAAATTTAAAGCTACTCATTTGTTCAATAGCACAAATACTTTCTAGACACTGTGTCCTTAATTTAGATTATATTCAGCCCACACTGTATTTCTGCCAGTTTCATTTTGAAAATGCCTAAAATCATCCAGTAATTCACAAGAAAAAGTCTGTAGCCGCAACATATTTTTTCTCCTTTCCTACATCTTGCAGCCCCTCACATTTAAACTGGGGGTCCAGTGGGAGCTTTTTAGACTCAAAATACAAAATAGTCATGTTTTAAATCACTTTTGGTACTTATGAAACTCGATCTAACAAAAACTATTGAGGCTCTGTATCCTGCCTCGTTCACAGAGATGCTTTATTGTGATGATTCAGACCAGATTTTATATAAACTTCAACTATCCGACTTCAAAATCAATCCTTAAATGTGCCTTTAACAAGCAGATTTAACACAATATAAATACAGGCGATGACAGCAAACACAATAACAATTAAGAACCAAGAAGAATGAGGAAAATGATATATTTTATATATATATATATATATATATACTCACAATAACAAAGACGGAGAGTCCCTCATTGGCAGCAAAGTTCCCCATGGTGGAAAGTGCTTCTGAAAAGGTGTGTGTGTGAGGGAGAGTGTGTTAAAATGGTAAGAGAGAAGGAAGCAGGAAACACTGAAGGAGGAGAGCAAGGGGTGCAGCCGTCTGATTACTCATTTTATAACCCTTTTAAGGAGCAAATAAGGAAGTGGCCCTTCACAGTTTTTCAGAAGGAAGGTCTGTTGTCTCACTGGGTTCCGCGATTGTTCTTCCAGTCATAAAACTGTCCAATCTGACAGGAGTCTGTAATCTCAGTGTTTATCTTTGAAACATTTAATCACAGCTAGTGCAAACAAAAGCTGTTCAGAGGCCAAAGAAAGAACAATAATGAGCCTTAGAAACCATAAGGTTTTATTTGTTTCTGGTTAGATAAAAAACTTAAAGCAGCTCCTATTCCAAGAGTTCAGATGTTCCTCTATGTACGGGTCAGGGTTAGATATGATTGCAGATTGCATTTTTAAAAAACTTAATTTAAAAAAAACCTTTTCTTGCATTTTCCTTACTGACTATCAATTAATCAATCAATTAAAATATAAAGCCGATCCCAAGAGATCTGTCTTCGGATGTCTTGTTTTGTTTTTGTTGTTTAAAATGGTATAAGACTGAAAATCATCACATTGGAGAAGCCAATGAAATCTGACTGACTGAAGTGCCACACCATTATCCTGAACTCTTCCAATCACACTGTCTTTCAGAGGCTGTGGTGGGTTAGATGACCTAACGCATCCGTTGCTATCAACCATGTAGTGCTAGCCTGTCAGGAAGGGGACTAAATAACGCTCCAAAGTTAGGCTAAATTATGATGGAAAGACTGGCATGGCCATTTTCAAAAGGATCTCTTGACCTCTGACCTCAAGATATCTGAATGAAGATCAGGGTTCTGTGGGTACCAAGAAGTCTCCCTTTTGCAGACATGCCCACTTTATGTTAATCCCATGCAGTTTGGGGCAAAAACCATGCAGTTTTATACATGTGGTATATTATTTTTGCCCAGCATACTTGAATATTTCTGCAGACTGGGGTCCATCAACATTATTGGAATTAGATAAATTGGGAATGACTGGAAAGTTGAAACACATACTTCATCCCACCCCTGTGTAAGTGCCCCACTTGTGCCACCTCCAGTCGAAAAAGTCTGCAAACGCCCCTGCTGCCACAGACACCCCATTCGTAACACTCTAAATATATAACTATTGCCATACTTGCCATCACATTGCCCCACTCGGTGATAGTGACTTAAAAAAGGCCTTTAAATCATCTTTGATTGACAAAAACAAACAACTTCACAAATGTTGCTAAATTCTCACTGGTTCACAGAAATACATCATGTTTTTCCATAAGAGCACCACGCACTTCAAACTTATTACAAAGACATTTATCGCCCAACTTTGTCAGAAAATGTTGAGAAAAGAGTCACAGGACATTTAAAAGCACATCATTCCAGCAGCTTCTTAAGAATAAACCTACCACACCACTTTCTAAAGTTCGAGACACTTACAAACATGAAGTGGAAGAATCTGAATCGTCTTGCAGTGGCCACGCCCTGCTGTCACGAGCAGGGGTCCTGGATGTATAAACACTGGAGCCCAGGTGACCGTTAAGAAGGAAGTTGATACTTGATGGTGACATTGTGAATTTTAGGCAGAGGAAGTGGCAGATTACTAAATGTGAAGTAAAACAGAAGACTAATTACCACATGCTTCCTGTTTCAAGCTAAACTGCAGAAAGGGAAACACCTGAACTGACATGTAAATTTGGTTCACATTGGAAAATTAAAGCACGAGCAACAGGTACATTTTGTCAAATGATCAGTTCACATCAGGGTGGGCAGCTGTTTGATTTAAAAAATGTGGCAGCATTATTAACTGAAGCTTAATGCCTTTAAAACGAGAGCAAAGCCGATCCACAGCCTTTTAGTTTCCACTCTGTGTAATGAAATGAGATTCCAGCAGCAACACAGTTGCATCTCATTTCCTGTAATAAATAATTATTCACTCTACAGCTTTTCCCTGCTGGTAATGAACAGATCCAGGGGTCCTTGAAGGGTTGCAGCATGATAGGGTCGGTCGCCTGTGTCCAGACCATTGATAGTGTATATTTACTGAAAAGAGATTCTGGGTCTGTGAAGTGAAGCCAATGTGAAAGTTTCTTAAACACGCCTTCTTTCTAATGGCCAGCAGGGGGCAGCTCCATGGACTGGATTGAGATTATGGAGAAATGAGACGAGCTCAGTAAACAGTTTGATCAAATATGAATCAATACATTAACTATTTCTCACTTAAGATCTTTTAGGTTTTAGTGTACTTTTATCATTAATACGAGTGTGTGTGACCAGGCAGGCCGCCATTGTTTCCAGCTGGATGATTTGAAACCAAATGAGAGCAACTCAACCTGCAATACGTCGCCGCTGCTGGCTCCAGCACCACAGGCGGGACTAATGCTGTTGTCAAGCTGTTGGCTAGACTTGGACCTGAGAAGGTCTACGAGTCCTGAAATATGTTCCGAAATCCCTGCTTTATAGTTCCAGGGGACCTATCTCAGGATCCAGTGGTTTTTGAGAAGGTTCAGGAGTAACGGAGGGTTTCATTTGTCTTTGATAAGATCAACACTGCAGGGGTTTCTAAGAGCAGCTCCAAAGGCCTTAAGGTTAAAACACACAGCCGCCAAACAGCCACCCCTATGTCACCCCATGTCACTTCACATCACTGTCCTATTTCCGTCATCATGGTGTCTGAAATGAATGATGAGGGTTGAAGAAGGCCAACAGCACCGTGAATGGAAATCCGACTTTCACTCGGGATTATCGACGATAAGATCACTGTGGATTCTCCGGAGGGATTTAATGTCAGTGATTACATCACAACAATTGAGGTTAAAATGGCGAGCATGAAAGTACCTAAAGTCCTGCACGAGTGAACTGGAGAATGCCGGCGAGGTTGCCTTTGAGCATAACATCGCTTACTGTGTCAGATATCTGTCAGGGGCTCACTGTGGTTTTTATTATCTGATTATGTTCTTCAGGGCTGCAGTATATTAATAAAGTTTTAAGGCTTTAAAGGCATAAACACTTGCAATCATGATACACTAAACTAATCACTATATAGTCCAAACATAAGATGATTAAAATGAGATTAGTGTCTGCTAATGCAGCAGGTCACACACCCTAGAAAATGCAGAAACAATGTTTGTGTGTTACTGCCACCTAGAGTGTGTCGGATGACCAGGGTGGAAAGTGAAGTAGTTGAATATGGTTTATTTTAGGTATTGTTGTGTATTTCAATTTTCTGCTACTTTTTACTCTCCAGAGTCTGTGTAATCATACAAAATAAAACCAACAAATAAATAAAATAAAGACTTAATTGGTCGCAGGGGAAAATTCACAAGCTACCAAACAGCACGTAAAATAATATGTATTCAAATCAGCTCCACCTTTACCGGCTGCAGCCTTTAAGTGATCACATTAATGCATCAATAATTATAATAATATACATTATTCTAAAAAAGGGACAGCAAAATGCATTCATTTACTTTTGGTACTGATAATTACAATATTTGTATTATTTAAAAAAAAGAAAAAGAAATGGAACGGAAGGAACAGTTGTTATTAGGGACGGTTCGTTGATTGAGTTTTGGTTGAACTCAGGATGCATTGTTGAATCTGTAAAATCTGATTTATTTATATATCATTATTAGTTGAGGGCTTCATTATTTAGAAATGTGACCGACCATTTTATATTTAGATTGAGTCCTCCTCTCCAAGCTGGTCAAGCTGTGCTGAATTATACTGGCATCTTTTCTGGTCCGATTAAGTCACTGAAGGTCTGTCATCAGTTTCTGTTTGTGAGAAAGAAATGAAATATTTGTGAACAATAAACATTTCTTTGCCATTATTGACTTGTACATTCTTTCTGAGAATGAAAAGAATTGTATCAATCAACCTACTGCTCAATGTCAGCAAAACCAAGGGGCTGGTTCGCTGAATAGCACCGAGGTTCCAAGAATCCTGAATCCTGAGTGGAACTAGTTCAAGAACCAGAGCTGATTAAGTCATCTCCACCCTCGTTCAGAAAGCACAGAAACAACTGTATTTCTTAAGGAAAGGCAAAATCCTCTGAGGAGCAATAGAAATCCTGCTGCCATCTGGGATAAGGTACAGGAGCTTCCGCTGCCGTACCACCGGACTACAGAGCAGCTTCTTCCCTCCATTATATAAAATATTTTTTTTTCAATTATTTATTATTATTTTAATTTTATTGTTAATCATTTTTGCATATATATTGTTTGTTTCTGAGTAGCATAAAGGGAACTACAACCTGAATGTAATTATACATCCCTGCATTGTAAATGACAATTAAATAACCTTGAATCCTTGAATGTTTAATTAATTCCACTTAATGAAGCAAAACAATGCTCTTCAAGGAAAAAATGTATGTGTGTGTCCATGTTGTGGCACAGTGCATATAAGGAAGAGTGTATTTTGTCAAACAAGCAGGCAGATGGTTGTAGGAGCGAGCTGGAAAAATACATAATTCAGACTGAGCAAGGTTGCAGTTTAATAGCAGAGTGACAAACAGGAGATGTGACAGAATGAGTCCAATACCACACACACACACACACACACACACACACACACACACACACACACACACACACACATACACACACACATACAGATGTTCTGCAGTGAAAACGTGAATGGAACATGCTTTTGAGAGCTGTAAGATTATTTATATAACGTAATGATACATTACTGTATGTGTTTACAACACTGCTGTTTTATAACCTTTCTATTGCTCAAGACCAAATTACACCTATGTATGTTTTATGCTCTTTTCTTCTTTTCTGATTTCTCACCTTCACTTTCCAAACTGACTATTAATCACAGAATTCAGTAGGAGGGAACACCTTGTCATTGATTGAGTGACAGTGAAGAACATTCAGAACTTCAGCATCTGTTGTTGAACAATAAACATTTATGGTTTGTTTGTTACAATGTTGTGAAAGTACAATAATGTTTGCAGGATAGTAAAATAGATGGATGGAACTGTACTGAAACCTTCAACTATTTCAATCCAAGGTAAAGTAAGCCACAATAACTAACCCTTGTCTGACC